TAAATTCACCAAACGAATCCTAGATCACTGTAGGAACTAAACAATTCCATCGCAAACCCTTCAAGCCTATGTTTTGACATGTCTTAATGTATATCACCAAATGACAGAAAGAACACCAAAGTCTCATCTTCAAATCAAGTATGGAACACGAATCTGAGAACTATCTAAGCTTAACCTGCTCGGTTGTTAGAATTTTTTGAAAAGATTATTCGAAGTTTTTTAGGTATCTGTATAAAAACTGAATCCTTTCTTAAAATCAGCACAGCTTTATAACACGTTTCTCATGTCCCACAAACTTATTAGTGGCCCATAAAGGTTCATGAGCCTATAGACATCGGAAGTCATTTATATATGTAGCCTACAACGACTTCATTAAGGCTTGTGACAACTGATCATTATCTAAGTCATATTATATCGGGACTGATGGCAACTTATTTATGTTGATAAACGACTTCCTAGCTGATGGTCAACAAATGGTAAGATTGAATTCAAAGTTATCTACCTGGAAAACTGTGTTTAACGGAATACCTCGGGGTACGGTTTGGGAGGGTTAATGTCGTTCTTTCTGTGTGCAAATAACCATCCACGTTCCCCGTTATCGTTCATTTCGTCATATCCTGACGATATCAAGATGTAATGAGAAATAAAAAGATGGTGATTTTTAAAAGCTTTAAAATGACCTGAAGAAATTATTTGAGATATTTAGAATTCGGCAGTTGACGACAAACGCCTCTAAAAACTATTATAGTGAACATTAGTCACCAGGGTATAAACGTGAACAGCAGGTAACGTTGGGCTATATGTTATCTAGACACAAATTGACTAACGTAGTGTCACTTATTTTGTTAAGCCCATATACCTTATTCTAGCTTTTGGACAGCCCAATCTGTTCATTCTACTTGAGTCACATTTTTACTTTGTTAATTAACAGCTTATCAATCTTAGCTGTTTTTATATGAGCGCATGTGTGCATATTCCTTATCCCATTACTCATCACATATCTGTAACTTATTTTTGTGTAGCTATAACTATTGATTAGCGCTTGGTTAAATGGGAGTTGGCTCACCCACAATCTCCACTGCACGACATTTTGCTTTGCTCTATCCCATTCGCTTCATATACAAAATATATGTATTCACAAGTCCATTCTCGTTATTTGACTTATCTAAATCCGTTACTGACTAACTCGATTTGAGTCGATGATTATATACGAGGATGAACAATCTACTTGGAGTCAGATCTTGGGCCACTAAAGTGGAGAGCCCTTCAACGAACATCACCCGATCTAAATGACGACAGAATTAAGAGCCCCACACTTAAAATTCATCGTCACACAAGACCTAAAACTACAACACTCAGCCATGCGAGAGCCTTCAACGGTACTAGACACCTGCGATCATCATTTAGAGCCTGCAGACATGTTGATACTGAAACCTCTTTGACTTGGTGCACAATATACATTCGATCTAAACTTCAGTAAAGAATAAAGCAGCTAGCCTATTCCCAAAAGGAGAAGGTAAGCTATTGGAAAAGATTGAAAGAAACCAAAATAATCTCAATCCTGGAATCGTAAAGCTCCCATATGATGATAGACTGGTCAGAATAAATCTATCTCTATGGTATTATCTGAGAACCATGAGTGACTTGACCAAAGGCTTTACACTACTTATGATAAATTCGCATCTGATACTCCCTCATTTTTTCGTCTTCCAAAAAACAAAAGATTACGAGGACACGAACAATTAAAAACCCAGGACAAATCACTTGCCGGATGAGTGTCAAAATTGCTACCGAATCATCGAAAAAAGGAACCACAACACGTAACTAACGCTCCTACTTTCGGTACATTAAAGCGAAATTTGGATTGATTGAGACGCCACCGTCGCCAGGATTAACACGGGCTAACATCCTCTTATCCTTTCCAACATGGAACTGAAACAGAATCTGTCAGTCAGGGAAGTGAATACCACAAATTCTAATAACAAGTTTGTTGCGAATTTCAGATGCTGTGTTCACTGAGCTTTTATTTCTAAGATGGAGAAACAATAGGATGTTTCAGGATCATAAACACTTTTCTGTGTCAGACATAGAGATAAGTCATTTCTAGATCAGCGATGAAATGTGTTATGTTCTGCAACCAACTGATAATTGTAGACGACCTTAAGCAACTAATACGCAGCGAGGAGTTGGAAGACTGATGCTTAATGCCTGATGGTCTAATACTATAAAGCCCCGAACGGAGAAAAATAACACAATACCATTGTTCACCAGTTTAGGATCGTCGGTACATTTTAAAGCAAACCAAACACCAGACCAATTAGGTAACAGTAACAACACGGAACATCAAAATAGTGATGGGAAAAAGGAAATCAGTTCGGAAATATTAAACATAGAGATGACACTATGGAAGTCGAGGTCAAAGGCCAGTGATGTCAAAGAAAACACAAGTGAATAGGAACCCTGATGATTTGCAGAAGTGAGATATTCAAAGAATCAGAAGCCACATCGGTGAAGTTTACAACCTGAAGGATATTCTGAGAGTCGCTATTCGAGGAAACGGAAAAACATATGGCAACTTGTTTTTGAAATCTTTAGTACGCCCACCTGGTTGGTGCATACAGTGAATAATCTTTTCCAATTCTTTTCCTCTCAATTCTTCGTCGAAAGACATTTTGTCAGTGAAAACATCTTTAAAGCTGTGAGTTTGATGGTATCACGAATTAGGCTTGACTTGACGATTCCAAACAAATTGAGCATCAGATGGGCCTAATTTTTGTAACACTCGTTGATACATCTTCACAGTACCACAAATCGCAGTGATTAGCATGTTTGTGAAGACTGGACATTGAACAACAACTTTGAAAGGTACTTGTCAAAACTATTGACAAGGTAGTCAGAAAGAACCGTGTTTTTCATTTATTTAGGATCTAATTGTTGACTATCCAAGCCAAATACGCAGTTTCGGCACACTTCAGCGCTACCAAAGCATTCCTACCGAAATAATGTCAGAGCAATGAACGTCTGCAGTAGTACAGGTTCGCAACCATACGATTCTTCATGCGGATCATACGATAATTAAGAAGATTCGCATCTCACAGTTGACACTAAGAGGAGGTCAAAAATGATGAAAGCAGAACACTTAATCAGTATGACATGACTCGCAATAGGCGTCGTCATTCTATGTAACATCTTGCTTTTCATACTGAACATAATATTCCATACCTTGCCCAAATGTGTGCCTCAGAACTCCTTGGCGGCAAGCGCTCACAGACACGACAGTACGGGTCAAAATAGATAATGATGCAACTTTTATGTAAGGTCTGATAGATTAAGTAGATCAAACACACTTTTAGACTGCATTTAAAGGAAACCTGCCGTAGAGGTACTCAAACTAATAAGTGAGCCTCACTCCAAAACTGGGTGTCTCAAATTTAAAACCTGAGCATAATAGAAATAACGAAAGTGGAACATCAATCAGCAACGATCCCCGCAGCCTTAACAGGTCGCTAACATGTCTGATTTAGAAACTAGTCTTAAGAAGTCTTCCGTAAAGAACCAGAGATAAAATGCATCGCAAGAAGTTCTTGCAAAAATTTTCGCCAGTGAATCAGTGAGTTACTGATATCCTTATCATTAGAGATAGTAACGGCACTCTTTTGTCAACCTATCGAATGCAGGCCCAACATTTGCTATAGTTCCGTGGTGCCTAGGTGATTACACAAGATATTACGCATTTATCAGTTCTGACGTAAAACAGTCCGACTTGACTTCGATTTTGGTATAGCCAGTCTTTATTAGTAAGGATACAAAGTCAACAAACCTATGTTGATCCTCACAATATGTAGTATCGTGAAGATCCAAAATCACTTTGGATGTATCAACTGATGCTGCTTATATTACGGGTTAGGGAATTCCAAAACTTCACTGTCCGTCTCGAGAAACGGATTTCCACACGTAAGCAGTTTGATAACGTTTTTGAACTTGCTTTGAACGTCTTCTCACATTATTATTCCTAGACGGAATGAAGAGATAAAACATTGCCACGAAGATTGTAGTTCGGTATACGATAAGTCAGTTTCAAATCACCCCGTAACCCGAAATAACGGAAATAGGTTGAGTCGTCTCAGTGTGTATTATCAAGATGGGCCAGCGAAATCGTTCAGAATTTCAGTCGTTCCATGATATCCACCTCTTAATCACTGCTTGAATCTAACACTCGAAATGCGGTCTCATGGAAGTCGGGTATAATACTCCAAAAGTTTCTTCTTCCAAGTAACGGAAACATTTATAAATAGCCCATGAGATCCTGAAGCAGTTACTCGAAGTTCTGAGATTTCTGGTTGTTATGACTCCTAGACCTACATAGTCCATTACTTAAGACAATACAATTTCACTTATGACATGAGTCATTGTAGTTATTTTTTCATCGCTTCACTATCGATGGAACTGAGTTCAAATGATCGCCTGTAAATCCATTCACTCATTGAGTTTCATCCATCCTGTAATATTTTCAATCTGACATACTGTGTATGGACCTCCAAGTTTTAATGTCAGCTGTAACGAACAGAATAAATGACTTTGCTGCAGTAGGTTAGTCATTTACACAATGTAAATAAGAAAAGGGGCCGACGATTGTACCTTTGGGAAATTCGCACTTTGTTAAGACAGCGTTTATCCGTGTCATTTTTCTCCAATCACCAGTTAAGTTTAACCGTTTATGATTTCCATTTTTAAGACCTTGTCAAAAGTTATGAATCATATTGCACAGTAATTGGTAGGATTATCCAATTAATTAAAAGCAGGTCTCAAAAATTAAATGGTTTAAGTGTACTATCTCCCAAGGTTTGAGGTTTGAAACAATAATCCAGATTACGGTGTATATTTGATTGTAGACGTTACTGATAGTTGATTGGTTACGTCTGTTCACTTATGCTGTCAGTTGCACAATGGTGTTCTTAATTCGCTCGTAATCCGGAGAATATTGCAAACTGACCATTAAAATGTTTCGAAAAGAACTTTCTCCCACTAGTAGGAGCTGTCACATTCAAGCCAGTGATATAATCGGTAAGATTTGCTTTTCAACCCTCAATATCCTAACTGCTTAGCTTCTGGTGAAAAGTTCGTATGGGTTAGCAGGTAAATATACAAATTACGTATTAAAGTACCTCTAGTTTGTTCAGCTAATATGGCGAACAAAATACAATTGTTTTTAAATTTAAATTATACACCGTATTAAGTCTTTAACCATAGTTTGTCAATTATTACCCAATGTGTTAACATTATGGTTATCAGAGTTAGTAGCTTCATCGCTTACATAGAGTTTAGTAAGAATCCCTAATTAGTGTTTTAAAGCAGTTTCCTCTGACACAATCCAATGTGAACTATGTAGCACCAGTAACTTACTTTATAAGAATATCTGTCTTTCCAAATTCATTAACAAACACGTCAACGAGAGGAAAATAAGGCCTTTGATAGTAGTTGTTATGCACCTGCGTTTTGTCAAGTTACAGTCCAAAAATGACTGTCTGTGAAACACCAACACATAACTTAAGAAAAGCTCTTAACATCACACTCACTGCATCTAAATGGAGTACCGTTTCTTGCAATTGCCCTATAATAAAAATCACCAACAAAAACAGACCAGTTGAATTTACCACATCCATTTGTGTTAATCAATTTAGCTGCTCATATGGAGCCGGTTATGTGGTGCACAATTGAGCAAGTCCCTTATTATATCCTCTAACGCCATCACTTATGTGACAAAGAACACCAAGTCAACCTGGATAAAGTTTTTTATCGTATTCCACCAAATTTCCTGCAAGGTTTATGAGTTCGCCCTTTGCGCACTGCTAAAGTTTTCAAAATTAACCATCACACGAATGTGATATTCGAAAAAAATCTGTACACAATTTTTCCATACTTTTGCTATCAATATAGAGGATAAAAATGTGGGTCATGATGAAACTTTGCTTCACCCCACTTTCTAAAACTTTAAGAATCTCTCTCACTTTCGTGTTCTTGCACAAATTTGACATCTGTCCGTTTACTCCTACTTGATAATTATGAAATTGACTGTTAATCTTGACTATTTTTTCATTAAATACCATATCATCTACGAGCCAACGAATTACATGTTTTCACTCTTCACACAGAATTGCTTTGCTTGTTATAATTAGTGCGTTATATTATTCACTTGGTTAATAATTTGTCATCATTTTTGTTTTGATATGTAAAACTACAGCATTATTACGTAAAACTATTACTCAGCATTATCTTATTATTATTGTAAGTCGTATACAAGTGAATGTAGTGATAATAAAAAACTTATCTAAATATATATTTCTCTCTATTCATTGGCTCATTAAATACTTATTCCAAATTCGCGACTTTGCTAATTATGCCTAGATCGCTATTTCAGGTTTTGAAGCAGAATTTCCACCATAAATAGCGTTCACTGAAATTATGTTTGCGTGTTAGGAAGTTTGATGTAGTTTCTAAGACAGCCAGACTAACGTTTCTTACTACATGGCACTTTTTATCAAGGCATACCTACAATATTAAGGGTAATGATGCTCCTCGTGACATTCAAACTCGCGTCACAGGTTCATAGTCTTAGACTGTAATACTTAGTTATTTGAGCCTCAGCTGGTTTCAGTTCGTGAAACTAGCTAACGCGGGTTCAGATACCACAAAAAGAATCATTTCCGTAAAGAAATTAGGTGTGCGTTACTGGCAACTGGGAGCCACTATGTTACATAGGACCAGAGTTCCTTGGTGACTTCTTTCAACCACCCAATTGGAGAAAAATGATTTGATAAAACCGACCTGGTTTTCAACATCGTCTCTAACATGATTGGATAAGCTAGTCAATATATATAACTCAACTTTTGTACTAATGGAGATACTAATGGATTAAAATGAGGGCGACCATAAAAAATGCTTATTATTAAAGGTAAGAACTGTAAGGCGGAATAAACGTTTTAATGGTGTGAAATATGTTCGATTCGCTTACTGTTTTTGTGCCCCTTGACAAATAAAAAAGGTGGTTCTCTAAACGTTTAATGAATAATCTAATTTCAAAAAATACTGTAATTCTTCGAATTCGGTAACAAATTATTGTTTTTACTACCTTATTTATGTTATCTCGTACTTCGCATTCGAACAGTTAGGGTACAGTCTATTCTGAGGGATGTTTCGAAAATGCTTGAGCAATGTCCGATCATTTTCACTTTGAATAAGTTTTCAGTGCTAAAGACATTCCTTTCTTTTAAAATTAAAATGTAATGTGCTATTCCACGTAGATAGTCTAGTATCGACCTCTTTTCGTTATTTTCTACGAGCAGTTTAATACATACAGCTACCTTCTTGTGCTTTCTTTTTAAGTACTGTTGCTTGATTTCTGCAATAGACTGTTTAGTTTTCAATCAATTTAGACGTTGTTAATTTTTTTAGGGGATCAATAAATTTCCGTATACTTAGATAGGTGACACCAATAAGTTGGTTAAAGCATCAATGCCATCTTAGAACCTCATTCTTCGTTTTAGGATGAAATTCCACAACAAAGGGCGATTGAACATAATTCACATAATTAAAAATGTTATTCCCCCTTTCAATGCTCATCTTTATTATTATACGTCATTTTCACAGTCGCTGTTATTAATGTTCGCCCTTTTTAACAGAACCTTTTTCCATTTCCTCTTTTGCTCATACTCTTATTAATGTAGACCAAACAAACAATAGTAGTAACGTCCAGTATATGATAATCAGAAAAGACATAAGATACTCTACTGTATTGACGAAACGTCCCAATACTAAGTCTCAAAAGGACTACATTTTTAATCCATGTGCTATATGCTCAATAGTGTCATTATTCGATTACACTTTCTTCACGATCGATACGTTGGCATTTGAACACTTAAATCTCAAAACAAAAATTTCTTTGAGACTGAAATCAAAGTCACATATTTGATGATAGGTTTAGAAAATAAGTTTATCTCACTTAAAAATAATGTTGGAAATACCCCTAATTTAAATCATGAGGTAAAGACTACATCCTTTTAAAAGAGAAAAATAGATACTGTTTTTTTCGAAACAATGAGCTTATTATAATAGGAAAACTAAAAAAATTAATAAATACCTGTCAGTTAAGTCAAGTAATAAGTGTAACTAATTCAATCAACTTAGTCAGCTTTATTGTTAGTGAAGGTTTGTGGAAATTGTGGAATATTATACTTAAAACATCACTAATTGTTTTTAGTTATTTTACTATTGAAAAACAGAAACCATTATACCAATCAAGTTCAAACATATTGGGTGTAAGACAGTGCTCCACCAATGATAGCGTAAGATGATTGTGAAATATCCTGAATGAGTTGAAGTGGGAAATGTAAACCAGTGGATGCCGACTCAGTAGTTTAAAAGTTAAGGACTCACCACAAAACCTGAAGGTTCAGGGTTCAGTCCCCGTTGTGAGCATGGATGTACACTAGATTCTGCTGAATGAATTAAATTCTCTAAATTATTACTAGATTAAAATATCGTAAGACAAAAGTGTCTCCAGACAATATGACTATGGAGTGATTTATCGAATACAAAAACGAAAAATACTAATTAAATTTAAATGAATATGAAATTCAGTGAGATTGAACTTGTTTCAATAATCATGTCATATGTCTGATGCTTTGTTTGCTTGTTTACTGAAAGAGAACAGTTTATGGTGTGATTGGCTTTTAATAAAATAATGTGTAATATATAAAAAAATATTAATGAGAGAATGAACACTGAATTTTATACTACACAGATAAGTTTGAACCAGATTGCCAGGCAAGACGTTGGATTTACTTCAAATTCTTTTGCTGAAATTTTACAAATACATTCTTCCTCTTTACTATACAACGTGTATATTAATCCATTCCTAAATTTCCGTTGTTAAACTTATTAAAAAAGGCGGATAACTAACGATGAAGACATTTAAATTTTTCGGAAAGTGTTTTTTTCAAATATTTTTTCGGATTATTTTAATATTAGCGAAAGGTGAAACTCTTGGTAAATTCGGTAGCAGTCAAACCCTAGATGTGCATTTCGGTCTATTTGAGATTAATTGGTTGGATCCACTTGGATCCCAATGTTGATGTTCACAATGAAACTTGAACTCATTACATTTCGTTTCAAATGCCCAACGACAAATTGATCAAATCCACTCCTTAAGGTCAAGAATGTAAAACTGAAACGTTTACAAATAAAAAAGCTAATTGGGATAACGAAACGAGAGGAAGGATTAGTCAGTGTCTCCTACCTTTACAATCATAAACATACACCACCTATTTTTAAAATCCCAGCATATAAGATTCCAAAAATGAACCAATTACTCTAACGAAGGAAAGGTGCAAAGCAGAAAAGCTGTAAGAACAAACTTTTTTTATCTGGAAATTCGTAAAGCAATGAAGTATGGTGCTGACAGTAACTAAAAAGATTATTAGTCTTGAAAAAGTTAGTTGTACGTGTAAATAAAACACTATAAAATGACAAATGTTAACCATGAACTATAGTCAAAAAATGGTCATGGAAACCAATAAAAATCAGTTTAAGACGATAAGCGAATAACAAAGTGTTACAGAGAGGATGGCCTCTTCAGATTTCAGATTAGGTGAGATACAGTAGCGTGCTTTTACTAGACAGCGTTAGATGATTGAAATAAAAACCCCAGTGACGGTTACATTCTTATATGCAACACACCCACTAACTGAATGTGAAAATGCTATGTATAGTACTTTTTTAAAAATTGAAAAAAGGATAGTTAATTTCACACGTACACTGGGGGTTCCAGACTTATACAGATCTTCACTCCTACTCAACAGTTCCTAGATTATTTTCAATTCCTCTCTAGCCTTCCAGGGTTAAATATTTATATCCAGTTTATATTATTGCGATATAAAGTTGAAGAAAATCGGCATACTGGTTCAATGAAGTCTCTTTTTCAATTATCAATTCTTTTCATATTTCTATATGATTTGGACGAAATAAAATCTAGACTTTTCTGATCATCAGTTCAACATATATTTAACCAATATGTAGAACTCTACCACCTGTGTATCAATGATTCGTCTCCAAAGATTATTGTAATCAGCATCATTGCAGTTAAATAGTTCAGTGTACACCAGCGCTATCTCTCCCTTCCTGATTATGTGGTCTGACTTGTCTTAACTGTGTTAAAATTACTACTGGGGATTGGATAATGAGCATGGATAAATGTAAATAAGTCAATAACTCTTGTTTAGTCGTGAACATGTTTTCATTTTCATAATATTATTATCATTGAAAAGACGGGCTTCTTATTGTGTTACTGATTAACCAGTTATGAAATTTTTATTTTCACGATATTAAGATTATTAATCAATCAATTGTAAATCGACTAAGTTCTAGTTTGTCTGAAATATAATTTGTTAATCAATATGAGTGACCTATGCTCTTCCACGTGGGGTGACAGGTGTAAGTAAATGTAAAGTTGGTAATCAATTTGTGGTTGGTCGATATAAAAATAAGTGATTCAGTCGTGGTTTTACCAACTCTTCACAAACCCCCTCCCCTGCACTAATAAAAAACATGTGTTAACTAGTGACTAATTTCAAGAGGTGATTCCCTGAGTTCTAGTGTTAAACCGTAACCAGTGGAGTTCAACCTTGTCAAATGTGAGGTATTTTCACACAATCGATATTGGGAGATGATTGTGTAATACTCACGAATTGATTGAAGTTAGGTTTTTGAACCATTTGGATAAAAATTCGATGGTTTACTTGTCACACGCTCATCGTGGGACCTGACGGTCGTTAGTCCGACCTCCAATTTATTCGTCAATAAGCAATACTGAAGGGTCTCATATTACGATGAAATATCTTTCCAGTGTTTCCTGATTCCGAATGGTTGTTTATCTGAATTCGATCTGTAATGTAAACCACTAAGTTAAACAATCTCCAAACCCGCCCTCGCTGTACTACCAGAAATCCGTTTTGTCGTATTAAAGATAAATATCTGTCCATTTTCTCTTCTGTCTGTCATCGAGTCTTACACATTCATGTGTGACTTTCTAAAATATAAAATCATTGTATTTGTTCCAGTTAGTTTAATTATCGATATAATCGTTACTAAGCAATTATATTGATAAAAAAAACTTTTTCCTTTGTTTATTAACAAAATCACATGGTCACATCAAGAAGTAATTATTTCCAGCTAATATTTGTTTAAGTTCTAAAGTATTTATTATCACTGCATTTATCAGTTTAGGGTTACGGTGGTTGTTGAGTTTAGTTTGATATCATGAATGAATCGATGTTAGATCACCTTTGAGAACTAGGAAACACTGGACGGTCGTTTTGTCCTAGTATGAGATCCCTCAGCAATGCGCGTCCACGATCTCGCAAGCGGGACTTCGACCCAGGACCTTCGGTCTCGCGCGCGAACGCCTAACCTCTAGACCACAGAGCCGGCCGTTTGCATTTGTTTGAAAGGTCCTCAACGATTTTATCCCTTATTTTAGTTCTTTTTTACGTCTGTGCAACACCATTTCAAGACTATTAATTTTAAGAAAACTGAAATACAGTAAACCAGAAAACCATGTACCTATTTATATTCGATAATTTTGTTGTTTGATTATATTTTTCTTGAAAAAGCTTGGGCCAGATTGCCAGGCGAAACGTTGGATTTACTTCAAATTCATTCGCTGAGATTTTACAAATATATTCTTTTTAATGTCTCAAATTAACTCGGCGCCCAAATACTGTGAGACTATTCATTCAAATTTAGACGAAAGTTCTTATTTATTAACTGAAATACATTTCCTTGAGTTCTGTTGTGTTTTTGAGTAAACTAAAAATTGACTAAACTTTGTTCAAATTCTTAATGATTAAAACTGAAGAAATTATAATGAATGATGAAAGTACTTTTGGAGAACATTTAATCAACTTTCTGTTGACAATGTTATGTAATACATCTATGAATATAAATGTGTCTATAGGTAGATCTGGAGCTAGAACCTTCAACGCAGTTCGTCGATGAAGTTTTATTCAGAACAAGATAAGACCCTCAGCTATAAATTTACTGGAGAAATGATCTAGCATACGTTTTAAAATAATAATATTAATGGGATCGAATTGTCACATTTAAATTTCATCTCCCATTATCCAAATCACACTTACAGGCCAAGATTAGTGTTAATATCTGTAACTTTGGAGTTATTGAATATTGAGTTGAACCGTGTTGGTAGATGCAAACTGCTTGGTTGAAGTCTTCGAGATTATCGTCATCAATGATTTGGGATGTGTAAAATGACTTACAATGACGTAGATACATTCATTCTTACCTCTCCTCACATACCTTAAGCTTCAAAATTATTTTAAAGTTTTTAATCCGCAATCTCATTTATTCTTCTTTAATCAATCGCATTGTTTATGAACGCTTTTTTTCTCCTACTCTGAAATTTAAATCAAACTAATGCACACATGTGCCTAGTTCTATCTTGTTATCAGTGTGTGGGCTATGAAGATTGTTAAGTTTTTGATTTTATCTTGTATATGAATAGCTGATCTGTATGTTTGATTAATTTATAGGAATCATTGATAAATCACTTAAATTCATGTATATCAATCAATCTTAGAGTATACAAGCACACTTTAAACTGTAACAAACTATATACTCATTTTCAATGAGATAAGACTCGCTGTAATTGAAATTGAAGATGATAAGCGTAATATCAAACGATCAATCTAAGAATAATAAATACTGATTCATTTTATTTTATTTTTTAATTTTTAGCTCTCATTTTCTTAATAGTAGTTTACATCACGGACCGTTCATAATTAGATAAACATTGAAAACCAACAAGTATTAAACAACTGTTTTCCCTAATATTAAGACTTTATCAGTGCACATCTATGATTCCATCTGAACTCGGGACGTTTGGTCTCGCTTGTGAACTCTTATTCTTTATACAACCGAGCTGAAACCTATTGGTACACATGTCCAACTCTAATCCATTCATTATATTTCATGGTCATCTCTCATAGATGGTTATTGCTGAGGGAGAGTTCCATACTAAGAGAAAACAACCAATTAGTACTTCCTGGTTTTCACTGGTAATCTAACTTGATCAATGATGCAAATTAGGAAATTTTAACAATCTCCACATATCTCTATACTATTAATACTAATAATACTAGTAATTACTATCAGAAGAGGTTTTGTGGAGATTGTAGTTATTTCAGTAGTTGAGATCATGAGTCAATTGAAGCTAGATCAAGATAGAAAACCTGGAAGCACTGGAAGGCCGTTTCGTCCTGTCGTGGGACTCCTCAGCAGTGCCCATCCACGATCCCGACTCGCGAGATTCGGACCCAGGATCTATCAGTCTCGCATGAGAGCGCTTAACCTCTATACCACTAAGCCGGCATCCAACAGTGTTAATGTCTAACTTCAACTAATCCACGAACTTGAGTGACACACCCACCATTGTCTTTATTGAATTGCTATCTCACAACAGACTTAGTTGAACTCCACTGGTCATCGCTTCTCGTTAGAACTCCAGGATATACCTCTTGAAGCCAGTCACCAGTGAGTATATGTTGATTAGTAATTGTTTTTTTCTCATTATACATCAATGAAGAACTTAGTAAATTGATTAAAAAAGCAAGATTATTCAACTCTTTTGATCTTATCTTGAATAATTAGGTTATTTCTTTTATTTACAGTTACATTCATGTACATTAATAATAATAATAATGATAAAATTGATTAACTCACAGCTGAATCTGATAGAAAAAAACAAAGTTCATGTTTGTTTGTTTGTTTTTGTGGCAAATTCATGTTTGTTTTCCTTCTTTTTCCGATGTTTCTCATGATTATTATGATGATTGTTACATTTTTCCTTCTATAGAAAATCTCTTCCATGTAAAATGGTTAAAACGGATTTTAGTGTATGGTCATTTGTGAAACAATCCATTGGAAAGGTAACAATTATTATCATTGTTAATTCTAGTTTTAATTCTGTTCAAAAAGAAAATTAAATTTCATTTCGTTATTGTATTAATGAGTGAGTTTCGTTGAAATTCGATGTGATTGTTTCCCGTTAATTCGAAATGTCTCTTCATTTATTGACTTTATATTAAAAAATATTTGTAACTAAACATTGATTATTTTGAGTGTCAATTTGACTTTGACCAAACCAAAGTTTTACCTGGTTAGGGTTTTCTCAGTATCTGTAGTTACTGATTGGAGCTGTTGAATGATTCAGAATCATTTACAATCGTGTAAATTCATTCACTCTTCAGCATCCTCCCAGATCATAAGATGTAATATTCCTTCATACATATCTTTTTTTCCACCTTTTTGAACCTTGTTTGGTCTTTCTTATCGGGATTACTGTTACATTATTTGCTGTTCATCTTTTTATATTCCTTTTGTCGTCCCAATTTTGTATGACATCTTCGCCCAACGCATATATGTGCCAGGTTCTTCATTGATTTTGACTGTTTGGCTTTGGTGGGTTATCTTTATTCAGCTACTAACCTGTTAGGTTTGTGTAGTTATTGATGGGATGAATACATTGTATCATGCTTCGTTCACTAAATATAAGCCAATAAAACAAATTAGTCAAACTAGCCTAACAGAAAAACTTGTTTGTTTTAACTATCCAAAAGTTACGAGATGATATTCTATTTCCTAATCTGTATGGTTTTACGGTACAAATGTTAGTTGCTATAGCAAAAGACAAAGTTTTTATTTTTTCTATAAACAGCCAGGAGGCCTTTCTGATTGACCTTGTGTTTGATTGGTTGTCCTCCATATTACCACCTTTGATTAATAATTACACGAATGACTGATCATTCTTAAAGTCTTATCTCTAGAGGAGTAGTTTTCCTTTAAATTTTTTGTTATATTGATAAATGTTGATAAAAAGTTGACATAGCAAATAAATCAACGTAATTACGGACCGGTTACAATTGTTTTAAAGTTTGATAATTTAGTCAATAGGGAAGAAATGACAAAAAAAATTGTAAGTGTTTGAATCCTCCTGTCGTTAATATTAAGGGATGAATTTCGATCGAGACAATCCGCTCAGGATAATACACAAATTGCGAAAAGTGATTGATCAATTACCGTTTTTAAGATTAACAACCGAAAGATTCAAACCCTAGCTACTGGCTATTGTGACTCATTAGGTCAGTGGGTAATGTATTAGGGTGTTTGAAGTGAAGATTATTGATTTTGAGTTTCGGTATGAACATCGATATTATGGTACAGGTGTACATTCAGCTGATGACTTCAAAATAGAAGAAAAATCACTAACCACATTCCATCCATTCTAAAGATTTATTGTTGACCATTGATTTTCTGCTCTCATCCAACTAAAATCTCGTCTGTTTAGTAAACAATTTTGTTTCTTATTAGAAGGGTTTTTAGAATATTATAGTAATTTCAATGGTTGGGATCATGAGTCAATAGGACGAAACGGCCGTCCAGTGCTTCTAGGTTTTCCATAGTGGTCTAGCTTCAATTGACTCATGATCTCAACCGTAGAAATTTTGTTTCTACTAATCATCTCATATTCACTACTCAAAAAAGCAAACAATCCAAATTGACTAGTTATATTTTTTTTCTCTAAGTAATTAAAAGTTATTACTCTCTGTTTTCCAAAAAAACTATATGTGATCGGTTAGTTCCGTGAATTATGAAAATATTGATTTTCACAAGTATTGATCAGAACAACAATTAGAAATAAATTGAGATTATGTAATAGTGTCAATTACTGTTCACTACTATGATATCATCAATTTATATGGGTGATTACACATACAATAACTAGGGAAATCTCCTTATGGGAAGAAATCCAACTTGTTCTAATTGAGTAATTGTTGGATAATTTCGTCATATCCTGACGATATCAAGATGTAATGAGAAATAAAAAGATGGTGATTTTTAAAAGCTTTAAAATGACCTGAAGAAATTATTTGAGATATTTAGAATTCGGCAGTTGACGACAAACGCCTCTAAAAACTATTATAGTGAACATTAGTCACCAGGGTATAAACGTGAACAGCAGGTAACGTTGGGCTATATGTTATCTAGACACAAATTGACTAACGTAGTGTCACTTATTTTGTTAAGCCCATATACCTTATTCTAGCTTTTGGACAGCCCAATCTGTTCATTCTACTTGAGTCACATTTTTACTTTGTTAATTAACAGCTTATCAATCTTAGCTGTTTTTATATGAGCGCATGTGTGCATATTCCTTATCCCATTACTCATCACATATCTGTAACTTATTTTTGTGTAGCTATAACTATTGATTAGCGCTTGGTTAAATGGGAGTTGGCTCACCCACAATCTCCACTGCACGACATTTTGCTTTGCTCTATCCCATTCGCTTCATATACAAAATATATGTATTCACAAGTCCATTCTCGTTATTTGACTTATCTAAATCCGTTACTGACTAACTCGATTTGAGTCGATGATTATATACGAGGATGAACAATCTACTTGGAGTCAGATCTTGGGCCACTAAAGTGGAGAGCCCTTCAACGAACATCACCCGATCTAAATGACGACAGAATTAAGAGCCCCACACTTAAAATTCATCGTCACACAAGACCTAAAACTACAACACTCAGCCATGCGAGAGCCTTCAACGGTACTAGACACCTGCGATCATCATTTAGAGCCTGCAGACATGTTGATACTGAAACCTCTTTGACTTGGTGCACAATATACATTCGATCTAAACTTCAGTAAAGAATAAAGCAGCTAGCCTATTCCCAAAAGGAGAAGGTAAGCTATTGGAAAAGATTGAAAGAAACCAAAATAATCTCAATCCTGGAATCGTAAAGCTCCCATATGATGATAGACTGGTCAGAATAAATCTATCTCTATGGTATTATCTGAGAACCATGAGTGACTTGACCAAAGGCTTTACACTACTTATGATAAATTCGCATCTGATACTCCCTCATTTTTTCGTCTTCCAAAAAACAAAAGATTACGAGGACACGAACAATTAAAAACCCAGGACAAATCACTTGCCGGATGAGTGTCAAAATTGCTACCGAATCATCGAAAAAAGGAACCACAACACGTAACTAACGCTCCTACTTTCGGTACATTAAAGCGAAATTTGGATTGATTGAGACGCCACCGTCGCCAGGATTAACACGGGCTAACATCCTCTTATCCTTTCCAACATGGAACTGAAACAGAATCTGTCAGTCAGGGAAGTGAATACCACAAATTCTAATAACAAGTTTGTTGCGAATTTCAGATGCTGTGTTCACTGAGCTTTTATTTCTAAGATGGAGAAACAATAGGATGTTTCAGGATCATAAACACTTTTCTGTGTCAGACATAGAGATAAGTCATTTCTAGATCAGCGATGAAATGTGTTATGTTCTGCAACCAACTGATAATTGTAGACGACCTTAAGCAACTAATACGCAGCGAGGAGTTGGAAGACTGATGCTTAATGCCTGATGGTCTAATACTATAAAGCCCCGAACGGAGAAAAATAACACAATACCATTGTTCACCAGTTTAGGATCGTCGGTACATTTTAAAGCAAACCAAACACCAGACCAATTAGGTAACAGTAACAACACGGAACATCAAAATAGTGATGGGAAAAAGGAAATCAGTTCGGAAATATTAAACATAGAGATGACACTATGGAAGTCGAGGTCAAAGGCCAGTGATGTCAAAGAAAACACAAGTGAATAGGAACCCTGATGATTTGCAGAAGTGAGATATTCAAAGAATCAGAAGCCACATCGGTGAAGTTTACAACCTGAAGGATATTCTGAGAGTCGCTATTCGAGGAAACGGAAAAACATATGGCAACTTGTTTTTGAAATCTTTAGTACGCCCACCTGGTTGGTGCATACAGTGAATAATCTTTTCCAATTCTTTTCCTCTCAATTCTTCGTCGAAAGACATTTTGTCAGTGAAAACATCTTTAAAGCTGTGAGTTTGATGGTATCACGAATTAGGCTTGACTTGACGATTCCAAACAAATTGAGCATCAGATGGGCCTAATTTTTGTAACACTCGTTGATACATCTTCACAGTACCACAAATCGCAGTGATTAGCATGTTTGTGAAGACTGGACATTGAACAACAACTTTGAAAGGTACTTGTCAAAACTATTGACAAGGTAGTCAGAAAGAACCGTGTTTTTCATTTATTTAGGATCTAATTGTTGACTATCCAAGCCAAATACGCAGTTTCGGCACACTTCAGCGCTACCAAAGCATTCCTACCGAAATAATGTCAGAGCAATGAACGTCTGCAGTAGTACAGGTTCGCAACCATACGATTCTTCATGCGGATCATACGATAATTAAGAAGATTCGCATCTCACAGTTGACACTAAGAGGAGGTCAAAAATGATGAAAGCAGAACACTTAATCAGTATGACATGACTCGCAATAGGCGTCGTCATTCTATGTAACATCTTGCTTTTCATACTGAACATAATATTCCATACCTTGCCCAAATGTGTGCCTCAGAACTCCTTGGCGGCAAGCGCTCACAGACACGACAGTACGGGTCAAAATAGATAATGATGCAACTTTTATGTAAGGTCTGATAGATTAAGTAGATCAAACACACTTTTAGACTGCATTTAAAGGAAACCTGCCGTAGAGGTACTCAAACTAATAAGTGAGCCTCACTCCAAAACTGGGTGTCTCAAATTTAAAACCTGAGCATAATAGAAATAACGAAAGTGGAACATCAATCAGCAACGATCCCCGCAGCCTTAACAGGTCGCTAACATGTCTGATTTAGAAACTAGTCTTAAGAAGTCTTCCGTAAAGAACCAGAGATAAAATGCATCGCAAGAAGTTCTTGCAAAAATTTTCGCCAGTGAATCAGTGAGTTACTGATATCCTTATCATTAGAGATAGTAACGGCACTCTTTTGTCAACCTATCGAATGCAGGCCCAACATTTGCTATAGTTCCGTGGTGCCTAGGTGATTACACAAGATATTACGCATTTATCAGTTCTGACGTAAAACAGTCCGACTTGACTTCGATTTTGGTATAGCCAGTCTTTATTAGTAAGGATACAAAGTCAACAAACCTATGTTGATCCTCACAATATGTAGTATCGTGAAGATCCAAAATCACTTTGGATGTATCAACTGATGCTGCTTATATTACGGGTTAGGGAATTCCAAAACTTCACTGTCCGTCTCGAGAAACGGATTTCCACACGTAAGCAGTTTGATAACGTTTTTGAACTTGCTTTGAACGTCTTCTCACATTATTATTCCTAGACGGAATGAAGAGATAAAACATTGCCACGAAGATTGTAGTTCGGTATACGATAAGTCAGTTTCAAATCACCCCGTAACCCGAAATAACGGAAATAGGTTGAGTCGTCTCAGTGTGTATTATCAAGATGGGCCAGCGAAATCGTTCAGAATTTCAGTCGTTCCATGATATCCACCTCTTAATCACTGCTTGAATCTAACACTCGAAATGCGGTCTCATGGAAGTCGGGTATAATACTCCAAAAGTTTCTTCTTCCAAGTAACGGAAACATTTATAAATAGCCCATGAGATCCTGAAGCAGTTACTCGAAGTTCTGAGATTTCTGGTTGTTATGACTCCTAGACCTACATAGTCCATTACTTAAGACAATACAATTTCACTTATGACATGAGTCATTGTAGTTATTTTTTCATCGCTTCACTATCGATGGAACTGAGTTCAAATGATCGCCTGTAAATCCATTCACTCATTGAGTTTCATCCATCCTGTAATATTTTCAATCTGACATACTGTGTATGGACCTCCAAGTTTTAATGTCAGCTGTAACGAACAGAATAAATGACTTTGCTGCAGTAGGTTAGTCATTTACACAATGTAAATAAGAAAAGGGGCCGACGATTGTACCTTTGGGAAATTCGCACTTTGTTAAGACAGCGTTTATCCGTGTCATTTTTCTCCAATCACCAGTTAAGTTTAACCGTTTATGATTTCCATTTTTAAGACCTTGTCAAAAGTTATGAATCATATTGCACAGTAATTGGTAGGATTATCCAATTAATTAAAAGCAGGTCTCAAAAATTAAATGGTTTAAGTGTACTATCTCCCAAGGTTTGAGGTTTGAAACAATAATCCAGATTACGGTGTATATTTGATTGTAGACGTTACTGATAGTTGATTGGTTACGTCTGTTCACTTATGCTGTCAGTTGCACAATGGTGTTCTTAATTCGCTCGTAATCCGGAGAATATTGCAAACTGACCATTAAAATGTTTCGAAAAGAACTTTCTCCCACTAGTAGGAGCTGTCACATTCAAGCCAGTGATATAATCGGTAAGATTTGCTTTTCAACCCTCAATATCCTAACTGCTTAGCTTCTGGTGAAAAGTTCGTATGGGTTAGCAGGTAAATATACAAATTACGTATTAAAGTACCTCTAGTTTGTTCAGCTAATATGGCGAACAAAATACAATTGTTTTTAAATTTAAATTATACACCGTATTAAGTCTTTAACCATAGTTTGTCAATTATTACCCAATGTGTTAACATTATGGTTATCAGAGTTAGTAGCTTCATCGCTTACATAGAGTTTAGTAAGAATCCCTAATTAGTGTTTTAAAGCAGTTTCCTCTGACACAATCCAATGTGAACTATGTAGCACCAGTAACTTACTTTATAAGAATATCTGTCTTTCCAAATTCATTAACAAACACGTCAACGAGAGGAAAATAAGGCCTTTGATAGTAGTTGTTATGCACCTGCGTTTTGTCAAGTTACAGTCCAAAAATGACTGTCTGTGAAACACCAACACATAACTTAAGAAAAGCTCTTAACATCACACTCACTGCATCTAAATGGAGTACCGTTTCTTGCAATTGCCCTATAATAAAAATCACCAACAAAAACAGACCAGTTGAATTTACCACGTCCATTTGTGTTAATCAATTTAGCTGCTCATATGGAGCCGGTTATGTGGTGCACAATTGAGCAAGTCCCTTATTATATCCTCTAACGCCATCACTTATGTGACAAAGAACACCAAGTCAACCTGGATAAAGTTTTTTATCGTATTCCACCAAATTTCCTGCAAGGTTTATGAGTTCGCCCTTTGCGCACTGCTAAAGTTTTCAAAATTAACCATCACACGAATGTGATATTCGAAAAAAATCTGTACACAATTTTTCCATACTTTTGCTATCAATATAGAGGATAAAAATGTGGGTCATGATGAAACTTTGCTTCACCCCACTTTCTAAAACTTTAAGAATCTCTCTCACTTTCGTGTTCTTGCACAAATTTGACATCTGTCCGTTTACTCCTACTTGATAATTATGAAATTGACTGTTAATCTTGACTATTTTTTCATTAAATACCATATCATCTACGAGCCAACGAATTACATGTTTTCACTCTTCACACAGAATTGCTTTGCTTGTTATAATTAGTGCGTTATATTATTCACTTGGTTAATAATTTGTCATCATTTTTGTTTTGATATGTAAAACTACAGCATTATTACGTAAAACTATTACTCAGCATTATCTTATTATTATTGTAAGTCGTATACAAGTGAATGTAGTGATAATAAAAAACTTATCTAAATATATATTTCTCTCTATTCATTGGCTCATTAAATACTTATTCCAAATTCGCGACTTTGCTAATTATGCCTAGATCGCTATTTCAGGTTTTGAAGCAGAATTTCCACCATAAATAGCGTTCACTGAAATTATGTTTGCGTGTTAGGAAGTTTGATGTAGTTTCTAAGACAGCCAGACTAACGTTTCTTACTACATGGCACTTTTTATCAAGGCATACCTACAATATTAAGGGTAATGATGCTCCTCGTGACATTCAAACTCGCGTCACAGGTTCATAGTCTTAGACTGTAATACTTAGTTATTTGAGCCTCAGCTGGTTTCAGTTCGTGAAACTAGCTAACGCGGGTTCAGATACCACAAAAAGAATCATTTCCGTAAAGAAATTAGGTGTGCGTTACTGGCAACTGGGAGCCACTATGTTACATAGGACCAGAGTTCCTTGGTGACTTCTTTCAACCACCCAATTGGAGAAAAATGATTTGATAAAACCGACCTGGTTTTCAACATCGTCTCTAACATGATTGGATAAGCTAGTCAATATATATAACTCAACTTTTGTACTAATGGAGATACTAATGGATTAAAATGAGGGCGACCATAAAAAATGCTTATTATTAAAGGTAAGAACTGTAAGGCGGAATAAACGTTTTAATGGTGTGAAATATGTTCGATTCGCTTACTGTTTTTGTGCCCCTTGACAAATAAAAAAAGGTGGTTCTCTAAACGTTTAATGAATAATCTAATTTCAAAAAATACTGTAATTCTTCGAATTCGGTAACAAATTATTGTTTTTACTACCTTATTTATGTTATCTCGTACTTCGCATTCGAACAGTTAGGGTACAGTCTATTCTGAGGGATGTTTCGAAAATGCTTGAGCAATGTCCGATCATTTTCACTTTGAATAAGTTTTCAGTGCTAAAGACATTCCTTTCTTTTAAAATTAAAATGTAATGTGCTATTCCACGTAGATAGTCTAGTATCGACCTCTTTTCGTTATTTTCTACGAGCAGTTTAATACATACAGCTACCTTCTTGTGCTTTCTTTTTAAGTACTGTTGCTTGATTTCTGCAATAGACTGTTTAGTTTTCAATCAATTTAGACGTTGTTAATTTTTTTAGGGGATCAATAAATTTCCGTATACTTAGATAGGTGACACCAATAAGTTGGTTAAAGCATCAATGCCATCTTAGAACCTCATTCTTCGTTTTAGGATGAAATTCCACAACAAAGGGCGATTGAACATAATTCACATAATTAAAAATGTTATTCCCCCTTTCAATGCTCATCTTTATTATTATACGTCATTTTCACAGTCGCTGTTATTAATGTTCGCCCTTTTTAACAGAACCTTTTTCCATTTCCTCTTTTGCTCATACTCTTATTAATGTAGACCAAACAAACAATAGTAGTAACGTCCAGTATATGATAATCAGAAAAGACATAAGATACTCTACTGTATTGACGAAACGTCCCAATACTAAGTCTCAAAAGGACTACATTTTTAATCCATGTGCTATATGCTCAATAGTGTCATTATTCGATTACACTTTCTTCACGATCGATACGTTGGCATTTGAACACTTAAATCTCAAAACAAAAATTTCTTTGAGACTGAAATCAAAGTCACATATTTGATGATAGGTTTAGAAAATAAGTTTATCTCACTTAAAAATAATGTTGGAAATACCCCTAATTTAAATCATGAGGTAAAGACTACATCCTTTTAAAAGAGAAAAATAGATACTGTTTTTTCGAAACAATGAGCTTATTATAATAGGAAAACTAAAAAAATTAATAAATACCTGTCAGTTAAGTCAAGTAATAAGTGTAACTAATTCAATCAACTTAGTCAGCTTTATTGTTAGTGAAGGTTTGTGGAAATTGTGGAATATTATACTTAAAACATCACTAATTGTTTTTAGTTATTTTACTATTGAAAAACAGAAACCATTATACCAATCAAGTTCAAACATATTGGGTGTAAGACAGTGCTCCACCAATGATAGCGTAAGATGATTGTGAAATATCCTGAATGAGTTGAAGTGGGAAATGTAAACCAGTGGATGCCGACTCAGTAGTTTAAAAGTTAAGGACTCACCACAAAACCTGAAGGTTCAGGGTTCAGTCCCCGTTGTGAGCATGGATGTACACTAGATTCTGCTGAATGAATTAAATTCTCTAAATTATTACTAGATTAAAATATCGTAAGACAAAAGTGTCTCCAGACAATATGACTATGGAGTGATTTATCGAATACAAAAACGAAAAATACTAATTAAATTTAAATGAATATGAAATTCAGTGAGATTGAACTTGTTTCAATAATCATGTCATATGTCTGATGCTTTGTTTGCTTGTTTACTGAAAGAGAACAGTTTATGGTGTGATTGGCTTTTAATAAAATAATGTGTAATATATAAAAAAATATTAATGAGAGAATGAACACTGAATTTTATACTACACAGATAAGTTTGAACCAGATTGCCAGGCAAGACGTTGGATTTACTTCAAATTCTTTTGCTGAAATTTTACAAATACATTCTTCCTCTTTACTATACAACGTGTATATTAATCCATTCCTAAATTTCCGTTGTTAAACTTATTAAAAAAGGCGGATAACTAACGATGAAGACATTTAAATTTTTCGGAAAGTGTTTTTTTCAAATATTTTTTCGGATTATTTTAATATTAGCGAAAGGTGAAACTCTTGGTAAATTCGGTAGCAGTCAAACCCTAGATGTGCATTTCGGTCTATTTGAGATTAATTGGTTGGATCCACTTGGATCCCAATGTTGATGTTCACAATGAAACTTGAACTCATTACATTTCGTTTCAAATGCCCAACGACAAATTGATCAAATCCACTCCTTAAGGTCAAGAATGTAAAACTGAAACGTTTACAAATAAAAAAGCTAATTGGGATAACGAAACGAGAGGAAGGATTAGTCAGTGTCTCCTACCTTTACAATCATAAACATACACCACCTATTTTTAAAATCCCAGCATATAAGATTCCAAAAATGAACCAATTACTCTAACGAAGGAAAGGTGCAAAGCAGAAAAGCTGTAAGAACAAACTTTTTTTATCTGGAAATTCGTAAAGCAATGAAGTATGGTGCTGACAGTAACTAAAAAGATTATTAGTCTTGAAAAAGTTAGTTGTACGTGTAAATAAAACACTATAAAATGACAAATGTTAACCATGAACTATAGTCAAAAATGGTCATGGAAACCAATAAAAATCAGTTTAAGACGATAAGCGAATAACAAAGTGTTACAGAGAGGATGGCCTCTTCAGATTTCAGATTAGGTGAGATACAGTAGCGTGCTTTTACTAGACAGCGTTAGATGATTGAAATAAAAACCCCAGTGACGGTTACATTCTTATATGCAACACACCCACTAACTGAATGTGAAAATGCTATGTATAGTACTTTTTTAAAAATTGAAAAAAGGATAGTTAATTTCACACGTACACTGGGGGTTCCAGACTTATACAGATCTTCACTCCTACTCAACAGTTCCTAGATTATTTTCAATTCCTCTCTAGCCTTCCAGGGTTAAATATTTATATCCAGTTTATATTATTGCGATATAAAGTTGAAGAAAATCGGCATACTGGTTCAATGAAGTCTCTTTTTCAATTATCAATTCTTTTCATATTTCTATATGATTTGGACGAAATAAAATCTAGACTTTTCTGATCATCAGTTCAACATATATTTAACCAATATGTAGAACTCTACCACCTGTGTATCAATGATTCGTCTCCAAAGATTATTGTAATCAGCATCATTGCAGTTAAATAGTTCAGTGTACACCAGCGCTATCTCTCCCTTCCTGATTATGTGGTCTGACTTGTCTTAACTGTGTTAAAATTACTACTGGGGATTGGATAATGAGCATGGATAAATGTAAATAAGTCAATAACTCTTGTTTAGTCGTGAACATGTTTTCATTTTCATAATATTATTATCATTGAAAAGACGGGCTTCTTATTGTGTTACTGATTAACCAGTTATGAAATTTTTATTTTCACGATATTAAGATTATTAATCAATCAATTGTAAATCGACTAAGTTCTAGTTTGTCTGAAATATAATTTGTTAATCAATATGAGTGACCTATGCTCTTCCACGTGGGGTGACAGGTGTAAGTAAATGTAAAGTTGGTAATCAATTTGTGGTTGGTCGATATAAAAATAAGTGATTCAGTCGTGGTTTTACCAACTCTTCACAAACCCCCTCCCCTGCACTAATAAAAAACATGTGTTAACTAGTGACTAATTTCAAGAGGTGATTCCCTGAGTTCTAGTGTTAAACCGTAACCAGTGGAGTTCAACCTTGTCAAATGTGAGGTATTTTCACACAATCGATATTGGGAGATGATTGTGTAATACTCACGAATTGATTGAAGTTAGGTTTTTGAACCATTTGGATAAAAATTCGATGGTTTACTTGTCACACGCTCATCGTGGGACCTGACGGTCGTTAGTCCGACCTCCAATTTATTCGTCAATAAGCAATACTGAAGGGTCTCATATTACGATGAAATATCTTTCCAGTGTTTCCTGATTCCGAATGGTTGTTTATCTGAATTCGATCTGTAATGTAAACCACTAAGTTAAACAATCTCCAAACCCGCCCTCGCTGTACTACCAGAAATCCGTTTTGTCGTATTAAAGATAAATATCTGTCCATTTTCTCTTCTGTCTGTCATCGAGTCTTACACATTCATGTGTGACTTTCTAAAATATAAAATCATTGTATTTGTTCCAGTTAGTTTAATTATCGATATAATCGTTACTAAGCAATTATATTGATAAAAAAAACTTTTTCCTTTGTTTATTAACAAAATCACATGGTCACATCAAGAAGTAATTATTTCCAGCTAATATTTGTTTAAGTTCTAAAGTATTTATTATCACTGCATTTATCAGTTTAGGGTTACGGTGGTTGTTGAGTTTAGTTTGATATCATGAATGAATCGATGTTAGATCACCTTTGAGAACTAGGAAACACTGGACGGTCGTTTTGTCCTAGTATGAGATCCCTCAGCAATGCGCGTCCACGATCTCGCAAGCGGGACTTCGACCCAGGACCTTCGGTCTCGCGCGCGAACGCCTAACCTCTAGACCACAGAGCCGGCCGTTTGCATTTGTTTGAAAGGTCCTCAACGATTTTATCCCTTATTTTAGTTCTTTTTTACGTCTGTGCAACACCATTTCAAGACTATTAATTTTAAGAAAACTGAAATACAGTAAACCAGAAAACCATGTACCTATTTATATTCGATAATTTTGTTGTTTGATTATATTTTTCTTGAAAAAGCTTGGGCCAGATTGCCAGGCGAAACGTTGGATTTACTTCAAATTCATTCGCTGAGATTTTACAAATATATTCTTTTTAATGTCTCAAATTAACTCGGCGCCCAAATACTGTGAGACTATTCATTCAAATTTAGACGAAAGTTCTTATTTATTAACTGAAATACATTTCCTTGAGTTCTGTTGTGTTTTTGAGTAAACTAAAAATTGACTAAACTTTGTTCAAATTCTTAATGATTAAAACTGAAGAAATTATAATGAATGATGAAAGTACTTTTGGAGAACATTTAATCAACTTTCTGTTGACAATGTTATGTAATACATCTATGAATATAAATGTGTCTATAGGTAGATCTGGAGCTAGAACCTTCAACGCAGTTCGTCGATGAAGTTTTATTCAGAACAAGATAAGACCCTCAGCTATAAATTTACTGGAGAAATGATCTAGCATACGTTTTAAAATAATAATATTAATGGGATCGAATTGTCACATTTAAATTTCATCTCCCATTATCCAAATCACACTTACAGGCCAAGATTAGTGTTAATATCTGTAACTTTGGAGTTATTGAATATTGAGTTGAACCGTGTTGGTAGATGCAAACTGCTTGGTTGAAGTCTTCGAGATTATCGTCATCAATGATTTGGGATGTGTAAAATGACTTACAATGACGTAGATACATTCATTCTTACCTCTCCTCACATACCTTAAGCTTCAAAATTATTTTAAAGTTTTTAATCCGCAATCTCATTTATTCTTCTTTAATCAATCGCATTGTTTATGAACGCTTTTTTTCTCCTACTCTGAAATTTAAATCAAACTAATGCACACATGTGCCTAGTTCTATCTTGTTATCAGTGTGTGGGCTATGAAGATTGTTAAGTTTTTGATTTTATCTTGTATATGAATAGCTGATCTGTATGTTTGATTAATTTATAGGAATCATTGATAAATCACTTAAATTCATGTATATCAATCAATCTTAGAGTATACAAGCACACTTTAAACTGTAACAAACTATATACTCATTTTCAATGAGATAAGACTCGCTGTAATTGAAATTGAAGATGATAAGCGTAATATCAAACGATCAATCTAAGAATAATAAATACTGATTCATTTTATTTTATTTTTTAATTTTTAGCTCTCATTTTCTTAATAGTAGTTTACATCACGGACCGTTCATAATTAGATAAACATTGAAAACCAACAAGTATTAAACAACTGTTCTTCCCTAATATTAAGACTTTATCAGTGCACATCTATGATTCCATCTGAACTCGGGACGTTTGGTCTCGCTTGTGAACTCTTATTCTTTATACAACCGAGCTGAAACCTATTGGTACACATGTCCAACTCTAATCCATTCATTATATTTCATGGTCATCTCTCATAGATGGTTATTGCTGAGGGAGAGTTCCATACTAAGAGAAAACAACCAATTAGTACTTCCTGGTTTTCACTGGTAATCTAACTTGATCAATGATGCAAATTAGGAAATTTTAACAATCTCCACATATCTCTATACTATTAATACTAATAATACTAGTAATTACTATCAGAAGAGGTTTTGTGGAGATTGTAGTTATTTCAGTAGTTGAGATCATGAGTCAATTGAAGCTAGATCAAGATAGAAAACCTGGAAGCACTGGAAGGCCGTTTCGTCCTGTCGTGGGACTCCTCAGCAGTGCCCATCCACGATCCCGACTCGCGAGATTCGGACCCAGGATCTATCAGTCTCGCATGAGAGCGCTTAACCTCTATACCACTAAGCCGGCATCCAACAGTGTTAATGTCTAACTTCAACTAATCCACGAACTTGAGTGACACACCCACCATTGTCTTTATTGAATTGCTATCTCACAACAGACTTAGTTGAACTCCACTGGTCATCGCTTCTCGTTAGAACTCCAGGATATACCTCTTGAAGCCAGTCACCAGTGAGTATATGTTGATTAGTAATTGTTTTTTTCTCATTATACATCAATGAAGAACTTAGTAAATTGATTAAAAAAGCAAGATTATTCAACTCTTTTGATCTTATCTTGAATAATTAGGTTATTTCTTTTATTTACAGTTACATTCATGTACATTAATAATAATAATAATGATAAAATTGATTAACTCACAGCTGAATCTGATAGAAAAAAACAAAGTTCATGTTTGTTTGTTTGTTTTTGTGGCAAATTCATGTTTGTTTTCCTTCTTTTTCCGATGTTTCTCATGATTATTATGATGATTGTTACATTTTTCCTTCTATAGAAAATCTCTTCCATGTAAAATGGTTAAAACGGATTTTAGTGTATGGTCATTTGTGAAACAATCCATTGGAAAGGTAACAATTATTATCATTGTTAATTCTAGTTTTAATTCTGTTCAAAAAGAAAATTAAATTTCATTTCGTTATTGTATTAATGAGTGAGTTTCGTTGAAATTCGATGTGATTGTTTCCCGTTAATTCGAAATGTCTCTTCATTTATTGACTTTATATTAAAAAAATATTTGTAACTAAACATTGATTATTTTGAGTGTCAATTTGACTTTGACCAAACCAAAGTTTTACCTGGTTAGGGTTTTCTCAGTATCTGTAGTTACTGATTGGAGCTGTTGAATGATTCAGAATCATTTACAATCGTGTAAATTCATTCACTCTTCAGCATCCTCCCAGATCATAAGATGTAATATTCCTTCATACATATCTTTTTTTCCACCTTTTTGAACCTTGTTTGGTCTTTCTTATCGGGATTACTGTTACATTATTTGCTGTTCATCTTTTTATATTCCTTTTGTCGTCCCAATTTTGTATGACATCTTCGCCCAACGCATATATGTGCCAGGTTCTTCATTGATTTTGACTGTTTGGCTTTGGTGGGTTATCTTTATTCAGCTACTAACCTGTTAGGTTTGTGTAGTTATTGATGGGATGAATACATTGTATCATGCTTCGTTCACTAAATATAAGCCAATAAAACAAATTAGTCAAACTAGCCTAACAGAAAAACTTGTTTGTTTTAACTATCCAAAAGTTACGAGATGATATTCTATTTCCTAATCTGTATGGTTTTACGGTACAAATGTTAGTTGCTATAGCAAAAGACAAAGTTTTTATTTTTTCTATAAACAGCCAGGAGGCCTTTCTGATTGACCTTGTGTTTGATTGGTTGTCCTCCATATTACCACCTTTGATTAATAATTACACGAATGACTGATCATTCTTAAAGTCTTATCTCTAGAGGAGTAGTTTTCCTTTAAATTTTTTGTTATATTGATAAATGTTGATAAAAAGTTGACATAGCAAATAAATCAACGTAATTACGGACCGGTTACAATTGTTTTAAAGTTTGATAATTTAGTCAATAGGGAAGAAATGACAAAAAAAAATTGTAAGTGTTTGAATCCTCCTGTCGTTAATATTAAGGGATGAATTTCGATCGAGACAATCCGCTCAGGATAATACACAAATTGCGAAAAGTGATTGATCAATTACCGTTTTTAAGATTAACAACCGAAAGATTCAAACCCTAGCTACTGGCTATTGTGACTCATTAGGTCAGTGGGTAATGTATTAGGGTGTTTGAAGTGAAGATTATTGATTTTGAGTTTCGGTATGAACATCGATATTATGGTACAGGTGTACATTCAGCTGATGACTTCAAAATAGAAGAAAAATCACTAACCACATTCCATCCATTCTAAAGATTTATTGTTGACCATTGATTTTCTGCTCTCATCCAACTAAAATCTCGTCTGTTTAGTAAACAATTTTGTTTCTTATTAGAAGGGTTTTTAGAATATTATAGTAATTTCAATGGTTGGGATCATGAGTCAATAGGACGAAACGGCCGTCCAGTGCTTCTAGGTTTTCCATAGTGGTCTAGCTTCAATTGACTCATGATCTCAACCGTAGAAATTTTGTTTCTACTAATCATCTCATATTCACTACTCAAAAAAGCAAACAATCCAAATTGACTAGTTATATTTTTTTTCTCTAAGTAATTAAAAGTTATTACTCTCTGTTTTCCAAAAAAACTATATGTGATCGGTTAGTTCCGTGAATTATGAAAATATTGATTTTCACAAGTATTGATCAGAACAACAATTAGAAATAAATTGAGATTATGTAATAGTGTCAATTACTGTTCACTACTATGATATCATCAATTTATATGGGTGATTACACATACAATAACTAGGGAAATCTCCTTATGGGAAGAAATCCAACTTGTTCTAATTGAGTAATTGTTGGATAATTAATAATCTCAAGTTAGTTTACGCCTATTAGTTTTAACAAACAAGGAGTACATGACAGTTGCTATGTATGAGGTTGGGACTCTTCAAAACCATGCTCTTATAAACTTCCCAATAAGGGAGGCGTATGCTTAACCTTTAGATTAATGATTTTCCGTCTAATAATTCACATTTACAATTTAATATATCTGTTGCCTGGACCGTTGACACTGATTTTCTGACCGTTTCCTAGACCCTTCCGCTTAGAATTCTCCTGCATTTCAGCCTTAAACAAAAGATAGGAGACGGAAATTATGAAGTGAAACTTTCAAAATCAGTTTAAACACAGAAAAAGGGTAGTTTTAGGTTTGCGCTATGACTAATTCTCTAGTAGCCTTTAAAACTAATAACAAGTAATGATCCGATCAAAGAAGGGAAAATAATAGATCGTTTCTATAGGGAATTCTTGGAAGTTTCTATTGAACAGTGATCGGAAAAAGTGTTCTCAACTTTTTTTAGCACGTTAAAACGTTTACAAGGGATTATCGAGGGTTTCCAACAAAATTTCAATTAGTTGCGTTATTGTCATCCAGTAAAATTATTAGATTGCTATTTGGAAATGATCGAGCACCATTGGTTACGGTTTTCCAGTTGAGCTCTAGGAATCTAGTCACTGTTGTGTATATGGTTCTCTTTATTGAGAGGTTTATGAGTAACCCTATTGTAACTATTGACTGAACATGAAAAGCTGGTCTTTGACTACTCAGCGGTCTAAAAATACCATTCTCCCTGAAATCTGTAAGTCCTGTGTCGTAGGTGTGCATATAGCTAAGTAGTCTCAGAATAGGGTGAAATAACTTTCTAGTGTTGTACCATTCTGTTAAGTAATTTGTTAGTGAATGCCGTTCGGTGATGTATATAATTTTTAGTATGAAAAATCTCTTATTGCTCCCTTCAATTTACTAGTTTGTTAATTACTTACCTATCGATTGTATATTTCTTTTCTATTTCAAGGAATTATCTAAAATCACTATGCCAATCATTCTTAATGAACCGTTAAGTTTTCTACAACGTATTGCTGAATACATGGAATATTCCGAATTACTAGATCAAGCAGTTGAAGAGAAAGATCCTATTAAACGTATGGAGGTTAGTTTTATTCCATCTAAAAAATATTTTCTCATTTATTCATTGGATTGATGTGTGTAAGTGACAGTCAGCACGTTACAATAACTGATTAAACTCACAACATTAATAAAACAAATTTCGTAACCAGTTTAGTCGTTGTGGGGTTTGCAGTCACATCAAACTAGTTACTACTAATATAACGAGTAAGAGTCAGCCCCAACAGTCAGGTTTTAATTGATCAGAGAATGAGTGACCTACGAACTAACTTGATCCAATCGCTTAAGATAATTTATCACGTTCATTTTGTGTTTAGAATTAATGTATAAGCATTTCCTTTTATTACGTAAGAAAACCTATTTTTCTGTCGAGTTTTCTTGTCTTTGATCTTAAATCATCCCATGGCTTACGTCAATAATCCAGTCTTTGTGCGGCCACCACTAAGACACACTGTATTAAAGCATACTTTTTGTCAGTAGAAACTCGTTTCATTTGTTTTAACAACCAAAACTTTGTTCATAAAAGTGTAGTTCATAACTACCTACCCTTGGCGAGTATTCTACCTCTAATTTTCGTACTACTTATTATTGGTTACTCCATACACGATCAAATATCTAAAAGAACCTAAGGAAAAATACGAGTAATCTATGCATGTCTGCCATGTCTACCTTCAGTTGAACAAATCCATACCAAAAGTTTTTGCACCGTGACCTAGAGCCATTCATGGAACTGGTATTTCTTTCAATCTTATGTACTTAATCAGTATTGATGGAAAAGTCTGTCAATAGAACAGTTCTTAACAGTATGACTAAGAAACAGTAAAATATATCCTAATAAAATTGAACGAGATTGATGGAGTGAGAAATCCTTACCGACATCTCATAATACATCTATTTTAAATAGTTTGGTCAGTGAAAAGCCTTCATCAAACTGATGCAATTTTTCGATACACACTGTTCAATAATAGACACAAATACAAAACTTCCAATCAGAAGTTGCATGTCGTTTCCATTTTAAAAAAATGAGGTTTTAGTCGATAAAATTGTTAAATACCCATTGAAGATGGATAAAATATACCTATGAACTAATCCTAATCGAGAAGGCAATGTTTCATTTTTCCATTTGCTCAACATATGAAACTATAGTTTACTGTTAGGGATACTAAACTCAAAAATGTAACGTATTATGAAAGTTCGAGTATAACGATCCTTTTTTCAATATGGATTAACACCAGTATCCGGCATTTTCTGGCATTTTTTCCCACTCCGATAGTATGTTGTTGTTACATGTAAAAGTGTAATTTTCACTAAGGACTTCATTTTAATCATCTAAATCTGTTCTGTAAAAACATACTACTGTTGCGCATTCCAACTAACCATATTAAAATACAAATAAGGTGTAATTCAGAGTTTGAAATAAGATCTTCAAAGAAAATTTTACTCTTAAATGCAGCAATCACTCACTAAATGAACCTCAAAAATAAAAATAAACAGCCAGATATCGCACACATATATTGAATACTTTAAAAAGTATCAGTATAGGGTTGTGGGGATTATTAAGGTTTTGGTTGAGATCATGAACTGACTGATGATGGACCACCATTGAAAACCTGAAAGCACTGGACGGCTGTTTCGTCCTAATAATCTCCACAACCCTATACTGATAATTACCATGTGCTCACTATTGACTACCTTCGTGAGGGAATTTTCGGAGTTCTAGTGAGAAGCCGTGACCAGTGGAGATAATCCGTATCGGGTAGAGACAGGTATCTACCTCAATACAATGAAAAATGGTCACGCAATTTCGTGGATTAGTTGAGGTTAGACATTAACACCACTGGATGCCGGTTCAGTGATCTAGAGGGTAAGCGTTCGCGTTCGAGACCGATAGGTGTTGGGTTTGAATCCCGCGAGGCGGGATCGTGGATGCGCATTGCTGAGGAGTCCCACAATAGAACGGAACGGCTATCCAGTGCCTCCAGGTTTTCCATGGTGATCTAGTTTCAATTGACTCATGATCTCAACTGTTTAAATTACTAAAATCTCCAAAAACCCCCTATGATACTAAAATTAATTCATTGAGATTTTACATTTAAAAATAGTAACTATGCAGTTTAATAATAAAAACAATCCTGTGATTCGATAATAATAATAATAATAACAATAATAATAATAATAATAATAATAATAATAATAATAATAATTATTATTATTATTATTATTATTATTATTATTATTATTATTGAATTTGATCAATAAGTGAACTTAGATTTAAGCTGAATTCTTTTAAAGTCTTTATCAGATAGATCACTTTTGTAAGATGTATGTTTCGAAAAAGTACAGTTTAAGAGAGAGAGAGAGAGAGAAAGAGGTAATCGAAAGTTGTCGTATTAGGGTTTAAAGTATCATTGGAATAGTCATTATTACTGTAAATCGTATTTATGAGACTGGTGGATTGCCAACTATTTAATAAGTAACTTGGAATGAATTGTATGGAGAATGGGGTTAAACATTGTTAGAATAATAGAGTAGTTTGATTTCACACTGAATTTGTTTATCTATACCTTTATGTATTTTTCTAATTGTTTACCATACACAATTTTGTAGTGAAGTCAGATAGTGGCTAGCTGTAGACTTTAGAACACACATTTCATCTTGTCTGTGAGTCGTCAGCCGCGTGTACCAACCTCTCATTACTGAGACTCAGAGCCAGAACTTTCCACCTCAAACTCCTGATGGATTATCTATCAGGATATTGAGTCCAGATGGCCACTAGCTTTTGAATTGGGTATGAATTTTATTTGTAAGATGAAGGTATAGCTTCCAGTTTCAGTATGATGAGTCTAGAGTATGACAAAACGTGAGTTCTGGATTCCAATGCTAGCTACCGTCTAACTTTAACGAGAAAACAACCATAAATCTGCATTGAGATAATCCTTCCAGGATGCTAATATGTCAAAAAGAGGCTGGCCAATTACATTCTTTGACATTAATTTAAAAATGGCAATACAAACTCACTTAAATATTCTTTAGAACAGAACAAGAGAACAGATAATTTATTATATTTTATTAAAAGTTTTCTAATTTTACAAAGAAAACAAATCAATAATTTGCAGACTAAATTCGAATAATGAAAATCTTTATTGCCTTGAATATACCTTAAATGTCAAGCATTAAGTTTGTAAACATGTTCAAGTTGTGTTTACAAACTTCATAGACTGGAATTAACATGAATTAACTTGGTAAGATTTCATTTTAAACAACTTTCAACTCGATTGAAATGTTCAAACTATGTTAAGTGGTTGGAAGCAGTCGACATGGAACTCTAAACTCTGGTTTCGTGCTAGTTGTCATTCGTCATCAAGTTTAACGTATAATCTTGGAGAAATTAACATCCTCTGTGGGATTTGATTTTGTATCACACAGCTTCACAGTCTGATGCGTTACTACTGAAAAGTAGTAGCCGATCTTATTTTTGTCAAACCTTTTTAAGTGTTGATCGAATTCTATCGATCAAGTTACAGTATGTTCACTAGTTTAAGTGACAAAATCATGTACACTACGTTGAGATTTTAGGCGATCGGTGACAGTGTATAAGGAACCCTGGGCCTAAGTTTCATGCTATTTGGAACTGATCAGCAAGGCCTAGCTGCAGTTTTGAAGGAGTTAATGCTCTCTGTTAGATTGAGTCTAGCATCAACCATCTTCATATTTTGAAATATTGCCAATGAACCGTGGTTAGAATACTTTCATTTCCTCTTCAATACTAAGTGATTAGAGATAATCGGTAAAGAATTACTGGATTCATGGATCATCTCAACCGGTATTCATCACCTATAATTTCAAGGCAAAAAATTACTGTCTGCAAAACTTCGGACTTACGTCACCTAGTATTACATCCAAAGATGTTATAATCATTCAGAAAAAAATATATATGCTCTTCTTTCTGAATAGTTCATAAACTTTGTGGTCATAAAGTTTATTTTCTAATTAAACTCAAAATATTGTAGTTAATAACTCACATTGTTCTAGGTTCTTGATTTTTATTTTCAAATTATCTGAAAATATTTGCATGATTAAGTCGTAACTAAACTCCACCTAGAGCCCTTCTAGGTTTACTGCCAGTCCCAAGCACGGATAAACGAGGAAGGTTGAGGATGGTGTTAGAAACTCCATCCTGTTGAAAACAACTTAGCTAAAAATCGCTAACCAGAAAAAGTCATCTTGACTATTTAAACTCAGCTCTGGAAGTTAAAGGGTCTTCATATTGGAGCAACAGTTAACATAGGTGTGTGGAGTGTCCTCACAATGAGTAGGTTGGAGAATCCTGGTCTATGGCCTATGCTTCACGAGAAGTAACAGGTGTAATAGACAAGTAAATAACTTGTAACATTCTATTACCACAATGAGAAAAGAATGAAGATGAGATACAGAAATACAGTCGTATCTATGCGTATGATTTATAGGCAACTGGCGTGCTGTATAAGCTAAATATTAAAAGTTTTTTTTAAAACAAAAGACAAGGCTGTTTCATGATTAATGTGTTTTGTTAAATCTTTTTGAGTGATTTTAGTTTCTTTTTTACAAACCTATTTGCATATAATAATATGTTAGTACGGGAATTTCGTGAAGATTGATTAATTCACAGTTCACGTCAGAGAATTAATTCTAGATAAACAACTATCAGAAGTCAGGATATATTATACGACAGTCTCGTTTTAGTATACGCATCCTCCTTGCATAATATCCTGAATCAATTGAAATGCGAACCTTTGTATATCAATCAATTTAGTAATGTAGAAGTTAGGCTCTCATTGCTAGAACTGATAATCTTGAGTTTGAGCGGTATCGAGGTTATAAAAGCACAAACCCGAAAAGTCGTACATGAGTATGGAACAGAGGTTTAGTACTATTTATTTATTTGAACACATAAATATTGGTCCAAGAGGGCACCAAATATATATGCGCCACACAAAACAATGAGAATTCGAAGAGAAAAAAAGAACAATAACGAACAGATTAGTGTAAGGTAGTGTAATAATAATAATGGGGGAAACAAAAACGAACAATCAGAAGAAATCTTTCATTTAAGGAAGAAGCAACCACTTTTTATGAAGAATGTAAAAGAAGATTACAGCAGGATCACCACTGGCTTCTATTCTGAGCCATATCTGATAACGTCTCTACCCGAGAACGTTTAGATAGAGCCGAATTTCCACCATAGGCGAGCTGCTTTTTAAGTGAAAAAATAAGGATACATCGACTGGGAATAAAAGAGAGTGAATAAATGACATAGTAAATAATAATAATAATAATAACAATAGTAATAATAATAATAATAATAATAATAATAATAATGTGAATCGTTTGATTGTTAATTGAAGCAAGAAAAGTATTTTCCATAATTATCGACAGTTCATCATATTTGTGTGTGGGCTTTGATACTGCCCGGGTGCCCAGACCGAAGCAGGTGGTTTTCTCAGGGGGCCACACTCCGAGCCTTTGACCTATAGTTCTGACCCACAAGGCAGTGGAACATCGTGAGGAGATGCAATCCCATGGTAGCCGGTGACCAAAAATTGGTTCATACGCCATTTGTTCCCTCAGGATACTGAAGCCCATGTGTACTATTGGTTTGGGATCCGGTTAAAGCGCCGGACATTCGCTTTCCGTCCTCTCATTTTCGTAAACAACACCCGTGGTGTGAGAAGGTAGTCAGTAGGACTTCCCTGGCAGAGGCTGTAGACGCGTGGCCGTGTGAGAGCATTTCGAGAGGGAGGGCGGACCCAACCCACTTTCGGCCATACCAGGGCATTTGGGGGCAAGAACAATAACGGGGCGGATTTGCATGCATATAGCATACAATTCTCTTTGAACCTAGCACACAACAAAAGCATCATGCACTGTCCTATCGCCCTTGGCAGATCAGGCAACCCAAAAGTTACGAGAACACTATCAGGGCATACGACAGGCTAGGTACCCCTCACAGTTATATAATATACCCTTGTGAGCCAGGGTCATTTTACATTGGTTTTCAGGAGAACCGTTTAGTACTGTCTAGTATTAAACGGTATATATATATATATATATATATATATATATATATATATATATGTTACTTATTCTCATCAGTTGATATTATTCTTCTTTGTTTAAACTTTGTTATTGGTCACTTGGTCATTCTTTAACGTATAACCAATAGTTCAATAACATTCTTAAATAAATTGAAAACAGTTCTCTCTCTCTCCTTCTACATTTTTTTGGATCGTAAAAAAAACCTACTTATAAAACTTGGTTTTAATACATACACTAACGTGCACACACACACACACACATTTTTCGTTGTTTAACCTATTTCACTATAAATTTAATGATTAAAGTTGTGTTCTTCAAATGTTGTTAATCTATACAGTCAATCATATGAATATCTCACTATAGAATCTTTCTAATTGTTTTCTTTTCTTTTCTCTCGTTTTCTTTTCTTTTTTTCCGTTTTCTTTTTCATTATTGAAACTTTGTTTTTCTTTTAGAAATTTATTCATATAAGAATTCGATTGTTTTTAGGTTGATAACTGATGTCAAAAACACGATTTTTCTTTAAGTTAATTTGTAGCTCTGAACTGTTATCTTTTTTTGGCATTCATGATAGTTGCTCAGTTTTTTTCTCGATTGACATTAAGTTATTTGAATAGTTTTATTATTTACCATAGAATGGATAGAATGTGACTAGTAGGCGAATCCAAAACTCATATTTCGTTCTATTTGGGATTCATCAGCTGGATGTAATGGTATCCCGGAGTTGTTTTATGCATCGATGCTCGAACCTAGCAACGTTTCAATTTAGACACTTCAATGCCTTATCCACTTGGTTACTAAATCCAGATAACCACTACCTTATGCAACGTGTAGTAATTCTAATTTAATTTCTAATGGTTTGGATAATCTCGTTGTTAATTCATGGATTGAATTTTGATCAGTCTTGGTTTACTACATGTCCTTGCTGTGCAGATTGCTTTGATAAAATCATCATCACACAATACATTCTGCAATACTTGACATCAACAACGGGGAGATTCAAGCAACTGTTACAAATGAATTGAAATTCACTTCCATAGCACAAAGTAGTGACTATTTGGACTGTAGTTGGGTGTATAACGCGTTTGGGCGTTCGAATCGAATGGTACTGTGTTTGATTACAGTAGTGAATGTCAACATTGGGATGAAGTAGGCACATTCAGTTAACAAGTCCCAAATAAGGTAACACGCGCATCTTGGGTTCGCATACTAGCTACATCTCATCTACTCTATGTCAACTTGTGTCGTGATGGCTATAGTGAGGTAATTCACACAGGACCCACATGTAATAACAGAAACTAATCAGATTTGAGTAAAATATCGACAGTGGAATAATCCAAAACATTAAAAACTAAATTAATTCTATTATTGTTGTCACTATTGAACGTACTCTATATCTTTCTACGCAAACGGCACATACTCAATGTCTGGTATAATATTTTGTTTTTCTATAAAACTTATTGTCGTTGTTATGATCGGCGATGCCACTCCCTAATGAGACGGTACTTTGAAATGAACTACGATATTTTCCATTCTCTCGTAGTCACGACTACTGAGAAACACAACTTTCGCAAAGGAAAATTTAGCTAGGAACGTTTCAGATTAGATAGTCTTAGTTATTAAGTTGACCTCTAGAACATTAGGTTTCTTTTAAACTGTCTTCTAGGGTTTTATCGTATTAAAGATATTTGTTGAAGTGTTGTGTGTATCAGTGATCATTCTGTCGAGTTCTCAGCTAGTTCGTATTCGTTTTAAAAGAACCTCAATCTCTGGTAATTAAAAGTTACTGTAGGATTCCATCAAACCCGAATTCAATTAAATCTTGAAACGACAGATTAACTGGAGGGGGACCCCAAGAGAATTGAATTACACTCAAGTTTATTCAGTTATATAACAATTAAATTCAGTGATTATTAGTTACATGAATTTATCAAACTGAATAGTTGTCATTTAAACGTAAAATCACAAAGAATTAGTTACATATGGATATCATACTGAACCAATGTTAAATTTTTTAAAAAATTCATGATAATTTAATGAATTATTGTTATGCTTACGAAAAACTACACTAAATTGGCTTAAATTTAAATGAACAGAAATCATATTGATTTAATAGTTGAATTCATGAGTCAATTGAAGCTAGATCACCATGGAAAACCTGGAAGCACTGGACAGCCGCTTCGTCCTTCTGTGGGACTCCTCAGCAGTGCTCATCCACGATCCCGCCTCGCGGGACTCGAACCCAGGGCCTCGCACGCGAGCGTTTAACCTTTAGACCACTGAAGCGGCATCCAACAATGTTAATGTCTAACTTCAACTAATCCACGAAATTGAGCGACAAATCCACCATTGTCTTCAATGAGTTACTATTTCACAACACACCCGGTTAAACTTCACTGGTCACGGCTTCTGATAGGTCCTGGGTTCGAATCTCACGAGGCGCGATCGTGGGTATACACTGCTGAGGAGTCCCATATTAGGATGAAAAGGCCATCAAGCGCTTCCAGGTTTTCCATGGTGGTCTACCTTCAATTGACTCATGAATTCAACTATTAAATTACTACAATATTCACAAAACCCCTCTCTGATTAAAATCATATTGAATTAATAGGAAAGTATCAATTGAATAGGAAGTCTCAATTAAAAATCTATTCGCCGTCTCATATTTTTATTTCGTCCTAATAATAGTCATCATTACTAAGCACTTCAGTCTTCACAATGAACATTTATCTCTATTATTGTATTGTATGTTAAAGTACTATTGAAGTAAAAAAAAACATGAAAACGAGGATACTTTTGATTAGTTAAAATATCCAGTTGTGAGTGAATTATTTACGTAGCAAAATGTATGAACTAGTCTCAATTTTACGTCAGTTATTATTGAATTTACTCATATCTGTTGTATGGTATATAAGAATTACGACTCACAATTTACGGTTCTATAAATGATATTCGTTAAAAGGAAATTATTCTCAACAAAAAGACAGCTTACATGTTAGGTTACTAAAGACAGTAGACGGAAAACTCTAGACCTAGGTTCCGTTCTAACTGGCATTTATCACCACGGCATACCTGTAATCCAGAGGGAACTGATACTTCCTGTGAGTCTCGAACCCAACTTCAGAGTTTGAAACTACTCGTGACACGAAAAACTCAGTTGTAACCCATCTGACGGTGTAAAGGAGTGAAAAGGATTCGAATCGTATAGGGTGCATGAATCCCCTTAAGATTACAGATATGTCTTAATGAAAAGCTGAAATTAACATAAAACCTGGGTTCAGAATTTCCTATGGACTACGTTCAATCGCTTAACATCAAAATACAGAACTCGTAAAAGTGTATCTCTCCTGCTAGTGACCCGTAGACGGAATTCAATCAGCATTTCGTGCTAGACACACATGACATCAGTCACTACTCAATGACCAATCAATCGTAATCACGCCTATATATATATGGTAAAGTATAGTATACTGTCGAGTTCAAGCGATTCTAAAACATCCTGAAGTATTTATGGCACTTATCAGCCACTAACGATTAAGGATGCTAAAATTTAGAATCTGGCTTTACAATTAATGAAACTTTAGTATACACGGCGGTTTTAATCAGCTTAAATTCTGAGCCCAGATAACCACTAGCTTGTGTAACTGAGATGAATTTCAATTGATTTGTAATGGTTATGTTGAATCTTCCCGTTGTGTGATTTTAGGGACTCCAAAGTATATTGAGAATTATTTAGAAAAATTATGATTTCTTTTTCTTTGTTAAATATTCTTACAGCTTGTATCAGCATTCGCTGTATCTAGTATGTCATCGAATGCTGGTCGTATTGGTAAACCATTCAATCCATTGTTAGGTGAAACTTACGAATTACACTACAGGAATTTTGTATTCGTTGCAGAACAAGTATGTTTCATCCGTGATTGACTGATTGATTGGTTAAGTTTTTTTGTTACTTTGGTGTTATTTTCTTTTGATGTTTATTATAAAGTTTAATAAATCTGGCATTTGAATGCTTGACACTAAATTTCTAACTATCTCCCAGTCTCCCTTTTCATCCGCCTCAGAAATTTCCTACAATTTAGCCCTGAACAGTAAACAAAAGATAAGAAGTATCAAAAGTGGTTTTACGTTTAAGATTGGTCTTAGTACAAAACACAGGAATACCTATAGGTTGATGTGTGACAATAATATTCGGTAAACTTCGGGAAACGTGCTGTTATTAATAGGAAGATCAATGAACATTTCAGTCATTATATAACAGGTTATGGATTGTTTTTTTAAAACAAACTGATATATATTTCAGAAACTAACTAAGAAGCTCACTTTTACATGAAATAAGCGCTGACGATGTTATGCAAAATCATAACAAAAGCTGTCACTAAACTATTTTTAGCTCCGAGAACTCAACATCACTAAAAGCATCCACTTGAGTTTTGAATCTTCTCCGTTCTGTATATCATGATTTGCTTGATAAGGCTATAAACCTTTGAAAATCTAATTGGTTCAGAGTTACATTATGCTTTCCTTAATTGATCACAAACTCGTCTTCCCTTGGGACAAGACAAAATCCCTATCAAAAATGTAGTCTATTAATTAATGATAGATTTATATGAAAAGAATTTATGTTTAGTGAATAGTTAATTGATCAAAATAAAGAGTGCGCCTACCATTGTGTTTATTAAGTTACCAGTCTCAAACCATCAGAAGATGGTTATGCAAAGTTCTCTAATTTCGAATATAGTAATAATGATTATAATAATTGTCTTACCCATCATCGCTTGTTTGATTACAGTGAAGAATTCTCATCAAAAAATATAGCGATATTACAGCAAATTTCATTTGTCATTGCGTAGTATAATTCCAATGAAAATTGTCTCTCGTGTCCTTCTCTTCACCGTTTTCTTTTCAAAGGACTATTAACAAAGAAAATATATCAACCATTATAATAGAGTTATTCCTAACTATTACAGCATTGTGTTTGTAAAGTTTCTTTTTTGTTAGAGCACGTGAGGACTTAACCTTTAGACCATTGAGTCGGTATCTAGTGGTTTCCATGTCTAACCTCAATTAACTCGCACTATTGCGCAACCTCTTCCAAATAATATTGGTGGATAACTGCTTCACATCCAGTATGGTTGAACTTCACTAATCAGAGCCACTCACTAGAATTCTGTTTGTTTGTTTTTGTGAAACCTGAAGTTCATGGGTTCGATCCCTAATGAAGCCGTAAATGAGCGCTACTGAGGAGTCCCATACTAAGAAGAAACAATTATCTATTAGTTCCGGGTTTTAAATGGTTCTCTAACTAAAATCAGCTAGCAGTGTAAACTATAAAATCAGACTATCATCACAGATTCCCTTTTACTAAACATTCACTCATCGTTTCCTTGTTATTAACTACATCCGTGTTCCTCTTCATTCACGTCTCAAGGTATCTCATCATCCACCAATCACAGCTTTTCATGTTGAATCAGATAATTATAGTCTGCGTGCTACTCTACAATTTAAATTACGTTTTTGGGGTAAATCAATTGACGTTCAACCGAAAGGATTAGTTACATTACAATTATATCATTTTAATGAATCTTATACATGGCAAAATGTCAATTTAACAATACATAATATCTTGACTGGTAAAATTTGGGTAGAACATGTAAGTCTACTTGTTGTGATCAATTTGTTGCTTATATATGTGTAAAGTAATTTCTATTTAGCACAGTGCTGTTAATTTTATGATATAATATCAGTAACTATGATAGTCATTGTGTCAAGAATGAAAGTAAAATAAACATATGTCATCACTTCAAATGTGAAACAACTAATTATTGATTGTTAAATATGCCGACATTCAACCAAAAGGTCCCAAGTTCGAGTTCCGTCTCGCCTAATTTTGTTTAGGTAACCATAGATAATGACTGCTGCTAACTTCCCTCCTCCTCCACTATGTATATCTGTTGCGTAATTACCAATTTAATTGAATATTAATGAACTTTGATTTTTATCAACATTTCATACAGACTGAGTTATGAATTGTAACTGTTCAAAAAGTGAACTCAATTAACATCTGATTTTAATTTACTCTCAGTTCTCATGTTATGATTGAACAGTTGATTTAATTTGTTACTTTTTATTCATCACATTTCTGTTTATTCAAATTTACATGTCACTTAGTTGAATAGTTAACTAGCGTTGAATGAAAAATAAACGGATTCAAGTCGAAAATTACGTCGTCATATGCACCGACTCAGCGTTCGCCGCGAGATCAGAAGGTTTTTGGTTTAATCCCCTGTAAAGTCGTGGATAAACACAACTGAGATGTATTATCCCTATGATGAAATAGTTGTCTAGTGGTTTCGTGATTTAAAATATAAGATTAAACAATCTCCACAAACCCACTATATGTATATTTTGCTTTATTTTATGATAAACAATAGTTCACTTAACTGTTAATTATTCCCAGTGTTATGTATAACCATTATTTACTTCTGATTAAATTGACCAATCATTAACACACTAAATCTTGCTAAAAACTGTACCACTTAGAAAATAAGAGATTGGTGATTTTGTGTAATTCAGTTCAGTTCAATACTTCAACACCTATATTAAATAGATTGTAAATTAATTACAAAAAATTTCCACAATAAGTCAGTAGACCGTGTAGTATACCAAGTAGAAGCTTACCAGTGATTATTGGACTGAGTTAAAAACTGTGAACCATTAAATTTCAACCCATAAGAATTGAATGTTCTTGGAACTATTTCGTCTAATGTGGGTCGACACCATTGAGGAGCCTTAAACTAAGACGAAACAACTACCCAGTCGTATTTTATACTCTACAGTTCTCCATCTGCTGACGATTTGTGACAAAAGTTATTTTCACATTCTAACTGCGTATTAAATATACTTCATCAGTGTTTTTCAGAAAAGTTTCCGACTAATTACCACATATATTACGTCTTGATACACTTAGTACACTGGAATCCAATGGTTTGTACTTCTAACTTCAATCAATTCGTGATACCCCACCAGACATCGGTCAATGTCATTTGTGAATAACTACCTCATACCTAACATAATTGAACGTCACTGATCAGGACTTCTCACAAGAATTCCGGGAATCACCTCTCGAGATTAGTCATTAGTGAACACATTATTGTTCGACATCTGATAAATTCGTGGGTACTCACTGCAGAGGAGCCTTACATTAGAACGAAACAGCCTTCCAGTGTTTCCAGGTTTTTAATGATTGTCTAATAAAAACCAATTTGTTAGGTAATCTATTAAAAATTATTATTTTTCATAACTATCATTACAATCTTGTTTTATTTTGTTCTACTCTTTTGACTTTTCTTTTCTTTCGGATACTTACAGACTGGCACATTGCGTATCACTAATCATTCGTTAGGATTATATTGTCAGTTAGAATTTCATCCATCTAATTCGTTTGGACATAGTTGTAATCGTGTTATCGGTGAATTATATGCTCCATCAACATTAGATAAAATGCAGGTAGTTTCAGCTTCAAATACATCTCATAATACTACTATTAATACTATCAGTAAAAATATATTTAATCATCATAATAATTCATATGTATTAAAGAGAATAATTTTTGGTAATTGGTCTCGTGGTTTATTCACAGTCGAACCGAATGTTTGGAATGAAAAGGAGGAAATCATTGATGTAAGTGATAATGTTTACTTTTTTTTATAAAAAACAAACTAACATTTCTGTTTGCTATAATTGTGCAATTATCAAATTTTCTTACAAGTCCCATATACTTATTCAGTCTTCTAATCAATTCAAGGCTGGGGAACCTTGCAAAATGTGAAAAAGTCTAACGTTAAACTGTATCAGATAAGAATATTCATTGTTCACCAAGTCTCTTTTTTAACACAATTATTCCTTTTGCCATTTTCCGTCTAATGGACCAATTTTATTTACACTAAATAAAGGAACAATTAATTCTGTAACAACATCGAATGTCGTTTTTAAGCTTTTGGCAAGTTTACTAGCGTATTAAACTGTATCTGATGATCAGATTTCATAGTTCTATATGATATTGTTTATATGGAATTGTCATATGTAAAGCAGATTATAGTAATCCCCTTTCCTCTAAGGTTGTTTGTTCATGATGTTCACTGTTGTTTCATCCTTGTTTGGAACTTCTTAATAGTACACATAATACAACTCCACAAGGGTAATGAAGTACAAGATCATTACGTTTCTTGGTGGACATGATTTTCTGAGCTAAGGCTTTACCGATCACTTTTTCTGACTTCATACAAATCGCCGTGCATTGAATAATTTTCATCTTACTTCTCTCACAACTCTGTATACTACTACTACACAGGTTACAGTTTTTCATTAGATTTCTTTCGGAAATTCATCTTCAAATGCACAAATATTATTTTAAATGCTTTCAGTGAACTGTTTGTATAATCATCAACATGAGTTGACATCAACCAGGTAAAATCATTGTAAATCAATGACCATTAAGGAGCTATCCCCATAACCCTTTCAAATAATAAAAAATCGACAAAAAAGTGAATCTGTGAAAACTTCTAGGTTTATCTTACCCTTAAAATCCATTCGCGATCTATTTAATTCATAATGTGTACTGTTCAGTCTTTTTCGCTGTATACTTTACAACTGATCAGTTAAATTAAATTTATTTGATATGAAGATAATAATAAATATTTATTCAGAGTATAATATAGGTAGGAGCTTAAAATTAACCGCGGAGATTTTCAGCCAACCCTTGACCAATCAAAAAACATATCTTGTAAATGAACAGTTTTTGAAGAAAAAAACTAATAATATTACAAAGTATAAACAGATTTTGCATATTTAATAAGTCTATTAAAGTCATCTACAGGTTGTTATGTCTGTAAACCGTAAAAAAATACAATACTTAGGTTAAGTATAGAGTACTAACTAGAGATGGAAATTCGATTAATGAGGCAGTGAATCTTCATCAGCTAAAGTGGTTAGAACGTGTGTTACGTATGCCGAACCACCGCCTGCCTAGATGAGCGATTTTGTCTTTTGTAGGAATAGATTGAAAGGAACTTAGGGGTGACAACACTAAAACGCTGCATCAGTCCATGAAGTCATTGTTAGATTGATCCACGTAGGTAGTTTCAGACTAACTATTGGAGTTCGTGAGATATCTGTGGTCAGTAGTCGGAAACGTTGAGTGACATAGTTCGGAACAGTCCTTAGAGGCGTAAATGCATTCATTCTTTATGTTCTGTTAGTTCCTGAATCCCAAAATCTCCTTATACCTTTTTTGAGTACAAGTGATCTTTTATACTACTATTGATGTTGTCATTTTTCCTACTACTCTGGGATTTATCTTGATAATTGTATCTCACTGTGTTAATGTGGCATGGAAACTTTAGTCTACATACGTGTTAAATTCTACATTGCATATGACAAAACTGACTAAAATCACAAAAACGATGACAAGTAAATTCCCTCATAGGAATTTTCATTATGCGTCTCCCCAACCCTTAAAAGGACACAAGTAGGCTTTTAAGAGTTCTCGCAGTATTCTTGGTTAACGTTAAAATTAGGATTTTCATCGCAAACCGACATGAGCTGTATTGAAAAATTAACCTTTTTAGTCTTATAAATGAAAAACTTTCAACCTCAAAATCCATGTAACACTGTGAAATCAGTATGTTGATAAAATATAACGTCAATAGGTTAAAATTTGTTACAGGAATTCAGGTTCAGGGAATAGGATCAATTTGCCAAGAAATAATTTCCTGTTATCATTTTAAACATTCTGATCAGTGCATAAATGTATTTCTATCTCTTACTATGCATTCACAATTCTGATTAACTCATCTCTAACTATACTTTTATCTCTCTGTGAGAATTTTAAAATTCGCTCCACTCTGCAATTCTCTTAATTAAAACAAAAAACATTACGATTTTTATTTATTTGTTTATTTATTTCAAATAAATTTTTTTTATAATTATTTATGAACTAAAAGAGGGCTGATCAGTTTAACGTCAGCACATTCAAAATTAAATAATAATAATAATAATAATAATAGAGACTGTCATAACAGCAACATTGGATCATTTCGATTTTATTGAATAAGTGTAACTAAGTAAATTCTATTGTTTGTTTTTGTTGATTTTATCATTGATTTTCTCATTTTATCGTGTTTGTGTGTGTGTGTGCGTGTGTGTATTGTGTGTTTGCTCTTTTCAATATCGAAAGTTTCCATTTTTTCTCATCTCTATTGTTTAGAAGGTTTATTGTTATTATTATCCCTGGATTTGTTTAAATGTGTAGATTATGAAATAAGTTTTGAAAAAAAATTGTTTATTGAATATTGAAATTTACCATTAAACTGAATTATAAATATTATCCATCATTTTGAGATTAGATGGTGGTTGGATGTAGTCGACAAGAAACCCTGGACCCGGGTTTCGTGCATTCGATCTGCATTAATAAGGACTAGACACGCATGACATTAATCGCCACCCACTGATCAATCAATTGCGATTACATCTCAGTCCTACTGGAGGTCGTCCACGGTCCAGATAGCTCAGTAGTAAAGTCTCTGACTGTGAAGCTGGGTGTCACGGGATCGAGTCCGTCAGGGAGCACCAGTCCCCTCAAGATTACAGGTACACCTTGCTGACGAGTGCCAAGTAGCACGAAACCCGGGTCTGGCGTTTCCTGTCAACTAACTCCAACCACCATCTAATCTCAACATAGTGCACGCAATGTCGAGTCACCTAGACTAGTGGCCACATTACAACTTGGTCGGTAGCATTTGATCTGCACTAAGAAGGACTTGACACACATGACATTGATCACCACCCAGTGATCAATCAATTGTGAGTATCCATCATTTTCAAATCAAATTGGTGTAACATACGTTTCATTGTGAGATTGTGGAGAAGATTTGTAGCTTAAGTGGATGGTTTTGATGGAGTTTTGTTCTGTGAATTGAATGGTTTGGTTGTGGAGTGTTCTTCGTACTTCTGAACGAAATCATCAGCACAAACTTCATTGTTTTAAACTAAGAAAACTTTATCAAGTAGCAGAGCTTCCTACAGTGGCCTAATATAGTTCATAAACATGATTATAAAATTATTTAATTGAATGAATATAACACCTCTAAAATTGTCATCTTAAGCTACGAATATGCTTCGCTATATCATTAACTCTATCATACAGCATATAGTTTTGACATTCAGTAATTAATCATTTAGATTTTATGTTCAAATTTCGTTTTCTCTAATTCTGTTTGAATAGGCGATATAATATCGCCGAGTATTGATCTAATCTGTCTCTAACTAGGGATATATGACTTGTATCGATACAAAGAGATAGAATGTTTTGTTATTTCTGGAATTTTCTAAGATTATTGAATTCGAAGTTTTACCACAAGGAATAAAATCCAGGATTTTAATTCCCCACCAAAGTCAGTCTAAGATGTACAATTACAAATTTATTAATCTCCACAATAATACTGTGTAATAACAATACTTATAATCATGTTCTGAATAATTTTGAAGGGTAATCTCCGGAGTTCTGATGAGCAGTAGTGACCAGTGAAATTAAGTCATATTGAATGTGTGACAAACGTAATCAGTCGCAAAAGATGATAGTTGAGCAGTAATGAGAATTGGTTGAAGTTAAAAATGTAAGCAATTTGATGCCTATTGAGAGATTAAAAGTTTTATAGCTCGCAGTAAAACTTGAATGTCATGGCTTTCATCGACATGAAGGGTTTGTGGATAGACACTAGCTGTAGGGGTCCTCATTCAGTGATTTCTGGTTCTCAATGATTGTTTTATCAATGGCAGTTCATGATGTAAAACTTCAAATAGAATATTTATTAAAAATTATTGTCCATAAACTATTTTTTTCATACATCTGAGTATTCAACATAAGATGAATTGCGTTGAGCTTTCAAGTTGCTTAGCCAGTGTGAAAACATTGTAAATTTCAATCATTTTATGTAATTCATTAAAGTAGTTGACAATTTCATGTTATCTGCTTCAGAACAATTATTTCGTGTATAGTTAAATAATATCATCCAGTTTCTCGAACCGAATCATATTGTTCAATGTTTTATTCACATTAATCCATCGAAAAATTCATTTGGTATAACTCATTCATTATTCGAAAGTATTCAGCCAGAAATGATCATGTTAAGTGTTTTTTTCATAAGGGAATTTGAGAAAAATGTATTAATTTACTGCTTCCGGATCCCGCGTGCGCGATCGTGGATACGCACTACCAGGATGAAACGGCCATCCAATGCTTCCAGGTTTTTAATAGTGTTCTAGCTTAGATCGACTAGCCATTTCAACTCTAATAATCTTATTAGTCTACAGTGTTGCGCAAGAGGTAAGGATGTACATGTTACCTTAATGGTGTGTTGCATATAAATTTTAAATTGAGACCACCATGGCACTAATATTATTCCAAGGTAAAGAAACCGAAAAAAACATGTTTACTTTGCAGAGTTACGTTTTCGTATCTTATTAATGGGTCAAAGTTCCTTGTTTTGTCGGCAGTTAAATATAAAGATATATTGGTCGATTTGGACAAATTGAAAATAAGTGTGTGAATTACTTTACACTGACCACGCTTGATATCAAATTCAAAGATTGGAGTCCTTCCAATCACCTTACTCATAACATTAGTATAATTAAAAGAGGAAAGCGGCTATGATCAGTATACTCTGGTTTTTAACACTAAATGAACTGATAGATGAAGAACTACGCATAAATAAAGTTTATTTATTATACACTTTATTAAAAAAAGAATCATAATAAGAAACTGGGAAATCAACCTAGTGACAGTTATAACAATAAAAGAATATTCATATACTTCATTTCTTGTATGTTATAATAAAAGATTACATTGATTGATTATTGAGTGGTCGTAATAGTGACCAGTGTCATATCTATTAATTAGGCCTAGTTTTAATTCTACAGAGAGAATCAGTTCACTTAAGATTGCAGGCATGCTTCACTAATGAGTACTAACTAACATGAAACCTAGATCCAGGGTCTTCAGTAGGCCATCTCCAATCATCTTATAATAAAAACTCATTGGATTGTGACTGGTCTTTGATGCATAGGTAAATAAAACAGACTTCTAAGATATGCAGATTAGATTACGTGTTGATTTTCAGACAATCTATTTCATCTGAAAAAAATTATGTGTTTTAGAATACTTTTTCAACTAAGAAGTTGTGTTTCTATAAATCGGTGTAACCAAGTTGATTAACGTTGATTTTGAGGGATACTAAAAATCATCTCACTGTTTCTTATACTACTGAAATAGCCAATGAATAAATCATTTATAAGATGTAAAATATTTTGCTAAGAAAATGAATGAAAATTGTGACCTATTTTTACATTTATATACGGTCTTACTTGCTTACTTACACCTATCACCCCTCATTGGACATAGGCCTCCGACTAGGGATCTTTAAATAACTCTATCCTGCGCCCTCCTTTCCAAATGTTCCTAATTGCTATTCATTTTTTCGATGTCCCCGATTCCCGGAGCAATGTGCTCTTTGGACTGCTTCTTTTCCTTTAGTCTTCAAGATTCTAAACTATAGCTTGCCTCGTGATGCAGTTTGGTGATTCCGGTAAATTGTGATCTACCCATCTTTGGCGTTTATCTCTTAATTCCCTCTACAGTTGGAAGTTCGTTTATTCTCTGCCACAGTAGGTTGTTGCTGATGGTATCCGATCAACGGACATTGAGTATCTTGCGTAGGTAGATGTTCATAAATACCTGTAGTAATTCTTCATCTTTCAACTCCATACAAGCAGAATGTCTGTTATTCAATAAATCACCAACCAGTTGATTTATTTAGAATAAAAGAAATAAGAAACAGAAATCATTAATTTTCAATCTGCATTGACAGTATGCACTCATCACGTATTTGCTTTCAATCAGTCGGTTATGATCAATGTAGAGCCTGGAAAAAATCTCGTTGGCATAAGCCGTCATATCATATTAGCATAAAAATGATAACTACACATGATAAGCATTGGTAATATGTTTCGAAATAGCAGAATGGTTAGGCATATACGAAGGGGTATTGCCACTTGAGATCTAGATGATAAATGGGGAATCCCTCTCCACTATTGTAACAGATAGGAGGAAATAGTTTTCCTTACCTCAGTTATAACTGTTTTGAATTTCGATATAGCAGTTTGTTGTGGACAAAGCTTTTTCATGTGATATGATAATAACTGCTACTATTATTACAGTTTTAGGTTTATCTTGTTACTGATATTCTTGACTGAATTCAAAGACGTTTCAATTGGTGTATGAGCATCTTGTGCGGATCGCCTAGATATAGCTGTTTGGTCATAACTTTTATGAAAGAACTAGATTTAATCGAGTTCTAGTCTGAACATCAACACTGGGATCGCGGTAAATCCAACTGAATAAACTCTCTTCTTGGATCACAATCCTAGCCATAATTCATCTACTTTGTAAAAACTGGAAATATCATATAATTTTCGCTTAGAATGCTAAAATTTACTGATTGTAATTGACTCAGCTACATAGTAGTATAGTTTCACTTCTAAACTTATTTATAAATCTAATGAAAATATGATTTTGAAGAGAATTCAACGAAGAAAATTTTCTTTTCCACGGAATCATTTACGTAAGCTGTACATTCATATTTATATTTGTATGATAAATACATAAGTCTATAGAAAGATAGAAAAGAATAGATCATCAGCTGATCCGAAACTTCAAGTATCAAATGAGATTGCATAATAATCAGAAAGTTAGAGAAGAATAGAAGGATGAACCTAACTTACAGGTTCGAATTATAAAAGATAATTGTCTGCTTAACCGATATGAGTAAGAATGAATGAAATCAATATTGCCTATGTCTTTAGGTGTTTGAATACTTTCCTTTCCGTTGATTGTTGCACAAATCAAATATACCTATGTATTGTGTTATTCATCTTTCTTTTAAACCAACATTTCATAAGGTTACAATACTACCTCTCGACTAAATTTAAGTACAAGAAGGATTACTAATAGTGGTTATTATGTAGAGCAGTTACTTAATTATTCATTAAAGGATTCGATAGTTTAAAAAAAAACAATAGACCACAGGTTCAAACCCCACTCTCCTTTACACCGACCTCGTTTTCGATAGATGGATGTAATATCACTAGGCCTCACATCAATAATCAGCTATTGTTCAAACTTGACTGCATAAAAACAGTATTTTGTAAATGAGCTACTTAACTTTAATTACAATCAACTGGATACAAACAGACATTGATCGACTATGATCATATCTGTCATAATTGTCATTTCATTCTCTAATCAAATTTGATTTCATATATACAATTACTCATGTAATTTATTTTGTAGACATAATTCCCAATTAAACATTATGACCACGAATTTTGCTATCTCTCTCTCTCTCTCTCTCTCTCTCTCTCTCTATATATATATATATATATATATATATATATATATATAATTCCAAGTATTAGTTCCTTGAAGAAATACAAACAATTAATAGACATGATGACGTAATACGAATGTTATAGTACCTTGTACTGTTATTATTTACATTATATTATCCAGTATAATAATCTTTCCATTTCACCATTATGTATATATGATCAGTCGGTTCTTATTTCATTCTCCTTACTTATCATTTCACACATATATTGATGTGCTCCCGGTTATCTTTGGAACTAATCACACACACTCAGAACCACCCAAAGAAAAACAGTAATAACAACGATAATAATGATGCTGATGGACAATCGACCAGCAGCTCTGAATGTATTGAATCAGTGGATTATGGATTCGAAATACCACTAACTGGGCAACGTCGTCTATGGATTGCTACACCGAAACCAATTAATTCAAAGGACTATTATGATTTCACACAGTACACAATGGGTTTAAATGAATTAACAATCTGTAAATCGACAATGAGTAATGATAATATAACTGATAATCAAAAAAATTCAAGCGTGATCATGTCGAATTGTACAAATAACATTAGGGAAGTAATTCCATGTCAAGAGAATTCAATGTATGAACAGTTTCTTCCACCGACAGATTCCAGATATCGTCCAGATATACGTTTATTTGAAATGGGTCTTATTGGTGAGTATGATTGTTATTGATTCCCACTTATTATCATTGTGGAATATATATATTGATATTTTTGACTGAATTTTGACCAATCTTAGCTGGCATTTGTGCATCCTGTGCTGATTGCCTCGATATAGCCGTTATATCCCAAGTTTTTAATAGATTAAATGGAATCTGGCTAGTAATGGGATCTAGGACGCACGTTTCATCCTATTTGGGAATTGTTAGCTGGGTGCAGCTGCTACCTGCATTTAAGGAGTGGCTATCCATACTCAGTAGCTAAAGGGATTATGTGTAGCGGGTGTTTGAATAGAAGTGTACTGGGTCCGAATCCTGGAGTGAACATCAACTCTATGATTCAAATATATCTATTCAATAGGTCTCAAGTAGGCTAAAACACGCATCCTGGATTCCCCTGTTGGCTGCATTCCATCTGTTGTATATAATGTTTTTGATTGAAATTTTTCAAGCCTATGTCTCAAATAGGTTATCGTATTGATTACCTATAATCCACCATATTCATTAACCATCTGATTTCATGCATTGTTTAGAGGTAGTCGACATGAAACCTTGAACCTAGGTTTCCTACTGTTTGACACTACTTGTCAGCAAGGCGTACCTGTAATCTTGAGGGACCTGATATTCCCTGGTGGATCCGATCTCGTGTTAATCCGTTTCGCAGTCATAGTTGTTACTGCTGAGCTTTTCAAACAGTAACTGACCTCCATTAGAATTTAGGTGTATGTTGATTGACCACTGAGTAGTAACTAATGTGTATTAAGCTGATCTTCGATTTGCATTTTGGCCATTAGTTTGAGTGAATATCGCACTCAAGATTTTTAAATCTTATCCGGATAGCTATTTAAGGTCACTGGTAAACATTTAGCTCATATTTAACTTTGTTGACACTACTTGTTATGAATTCGGAACAGAAATTTGTGAATTCATTTCCAATCAAGTCACTAATGATAATTGCTAGTGAACATGACACGCATATAAAATTGTGTGATCCCTATTATTAATGTTGCTTAGACTGAACAAATTGTTTGTTTATCGAACTCTGTTAGCAGTCAAATCAACAGGATATTTGGCTATTCGACTCATCCATAGTTAACTAGAAGTCATGGAAACTAGAAACATCTTAGACTAATCCACTTTAATTTTCTGTGTTTAGGCCCTTTGGATTCTACCATCAGTACAAACCATAAGATGGCTAAAGATTTACCAGGTAAAGTTATATATGGCACTCCTCGATAGTGCACATCCACAGCCCCACTGAGGATTAAACCCAGGACATTCACATCTCATGATCAGCACTTAACCTTTACATCACTGAGCACGACGTCCCATTGTTTACATGTGTAACTTCAGTCGATTCGCGATATCCCTCCACCACTAGCCAATGCCGTTGATGATGTTTGTTTCACTCCCCAAATGGTTGAAGTGTACAGGTTGCTGTCGCTCACTTGGACTCTGAGATTTTTAGTGATCGTTATATTTCATAGTTTGTATCACGGCTTGGTCTTATTCAGGTTAAAAACTCACCACGAAATCTAAAGGTTCGTAGTTCGATTCCCAGTGTGGTCATGGACGCACAATTTTCAGGAATCTTATACTAGGACGAAGCACCCTCCTCGTGTTTCCTATTTCTCAGTGGTTGTCAGTCAGTCAGTCAGTAACAACGTAGAACTTCGTACGTACGTACATCAGTTCGATGTGATTTTGAAGCCACATTTTAATTAATAATCGGTGAGTCTGTATAAATCTAAAGTAATTCCTTATAGGTGAAATTAAAAACTGCTAGAGTTTAAGGGTTTTAAGAAGTGCATTGGTTTCACAAGGGTTTTTACTATTTCTTCCCATCTTAATTCTGCAGGAATGTCTCTGTATAACAAGGCTCGTTCGAGTTTGAATATATTTATCTGTCTTAGTCACAAAAATAGCTCTGTAAAAAGTTCATCATCTTCTACGAGATCTGCATCGAATTCTCTGAAGGCTTACTAAGGTGAAACCGTGCGAGAAGCATATCTGCCACCTTATCTATATGAATGCATCCTATGTAAAACTGTTGTCTGGTTTAACATTCCTACTTCACTAGCTCACTTATTATCCCATGAATCATTAGTAAAATGATTAGTCTCCGAGTTTTACTGCAAATAAAGTGAATTTTTAGCAACATTTGGTCGATTCATGTGTGATGTAAAATCTCTCCGTGAAAAAGCAAGCAATTGGTACATTTAATATTTAATTCTATAATGTCAAAAAGAATTTTTCCTAGCACTTCTAAACAGTCTGAGCACTATCGAAAAAAAGTTACTCATTTTTTATGCTTATTTAAAAACATAAGAATTATTTCCTTGAATTTGCTTGGCTCGATCTCATACTATGCCCCAAATGGCTTGGTACGCCCGAGGCTGGGGAGGGAGTTTGCTCTTGCTATCGAAATGCCTTCTCATGGCCACACGTATACAGCAATTACCAGGGAAGTCCTACCCATTACTCCACACCACGTGTGTTGTTTACTAAATTGAGAGGATGAAAAGCGAATGTCCGGCACTTTAACCGGGATGGTGGATATGGAGGATTTCCCTAGGGGAGTTGGAAAACCCTGATTCCAAACCAATAGTGCACATGGGCTCCAGTGTCCTGAAGGAACAAAAAAACATTTGAACCTATTGTTGGTCACCCGCGACCATGAGACTGCATCTCCTAAAGCTGCTCCATCGGCTTATGGATTAGACATTTAGGTTAAAGGTTCGAAAAGTGGCCTACTAATAAAACCACCTGGTTCAGTTTGGGCACCTGGACAGTATTCCAGCCTTCATACAAATCGGATGACGAAGTAAGACACATATATATTTGGTGTTTCATTGCATCAATGTTTATGTGTTTATATAAATAAATAAAATGAATACACTACATTATTTTCTCTAGTCCTTCCCTTTAAATTCCATTGATTCTTTTATATATATTTTTTCTTTCAGACAAAGCAGCTAGTGAAAAATTACGTTTAGAAGAGAAACAACGTTATAAGCGTAAATCATTAAATGGTCAACGAAAAATCTCTAATTTCAATTGGCCAATATCAACTAATCATAAGTCGACTGGTAAACAGTTAAATCTTACAGATATGAATAGCGCTACAGTGAATAATACAGCTAAACAATTTTTTACAAATAATCCATTTAAAAAAGCATTTTCATCAAATTCAACTGGGCATCGTTCTACATTAGCTGATGACAATGACAATGATAAGAATTCATGTAATTCTTATACTACTACTACATCGGATATAAGTTCTAATAACAGTTACAATCAAATTATTAGTCCATTATGGTTTATTCCATCAGTGAATCCATTTACTAAACAAGAAGAATGGCGAATGACCGGTGATTATTGGAAAAGAGATTGGAGTAAATGTCCAGATTTATATTAAGATATTGAGTTATTTCAATGATTACAACATGGTTATGATGTATATACATTATATATATATATATATGTATATTTTTCATAAATGAAAAGTGTAAACGTGATCATTTCTTTTCTATGCTTATTTATATTGAAATCTCTATGGCGGACATGACTTTTATTAAAGAATTAATAAACGCTTCATTATACAATATTGATTGATGTAATAATATTACTAATGATAATTGCTTCTTTTATTTTGCTATTATGAAGCATAAAAATATTTAGGTTTATCATTTCTGATTTCTTCACACTTACATAACATTCTATTCTTTATTGAATGATAAATCTCTGTGTCCTTTAATCCTTTACCCTTCTTATGTGCAAAACATCTAGTAAACTATGCTATCGAATTCTTTCATTTTATTATTCACAAGTTTAATTAACCTCCTCTTGCACGAACCCACATGCACATACGTACTCATGCATATCCATACATACAATTGTTCATTTTCCTTTTGTTTCAATGTACTTTTACAAATGAAATCATGTGCATTTCAACTGTTTTGTTCATTTTGTTTCTGACATCTTTATGATTATTTACGCGTTTGCAAATTTATTCATTTTTCTTTTCATCTAGATAAGATCTTATTTTTTTCGTTGATAGTATCCAGGGGAAAACTTTTTTTCTCAAGAAAAAAAAAGCATATAAATTTCAACAGTTGAGATCATGAGTCCATTGAAGCTAGACCACCATGGAAAACCTGGGGGCACTGGATGCGCATTGCTGAGGAGTCCCACAATAGGACGAAATGGCCGTCCACTGCTTCCAGATTTTCCATGGTGGTCTAACTTCAATTGACTCATGATCTCAACTGTTGAAGTTACTACAATCTCCACAAACCCCCCTCCGATATAAATTTCAATTAAGAACAAATAATTTCATAATTTTCAACTTGTTTCAATATTATGTATGTTTATGCTTTTTAAACAAAGTTTTGCTGATGTTTTGCTCATTATCATGATTTTTAATTATTTTCAAATTTTGCTGTTTAATTATTAAATGGGGAAAATAAAAGTGAAATATGAAATTGTTTAGTTGAACTTTTAGTGAGACTCTAATTTATGAACGAGCCAATCAGAGGTGTTTTAGAAATATCAAGGTTACGGTGCTAACGTCGCTGCTTAATGCTAACGTGCGATCGCTTCACAGGGAATTTTGTACAAAACGTGATAATTGAGCGGCTATAACAAATAAAATGGCGGGACTATAATTTGTGGACGAATCAATCAGATATAAGATAATAGATCTCGGATTTTAACGCGAATGCCTTTCATCCATCTGGCTAAATAAATTTCTGACATAATTCCTAACCATGGAAAATTACGACAATTATTGAGAACTGGATAATAAAAGCACCAGTAACACTGGCTGCAGCCAGGTACTAAAATATATACGGATGCTTGGAGAGCGTACAGACTCCTACATAGGCTTGGTTATATGTATCATGTCGTTATCCACAAGTAGCATTTTGTGCACTCAGCAACCAGAATGCACATAAACAATATTGAAGCTATGTGGTCTAGGCTGAAAGAGTTTTTGACACTTTGTCATGGCTCCAGAGGTCGACTATTCTGTAGCCGTATAGATGATTTCCTATACTGCATGCATTATGATTTTAGAACCTCTGAACCTCTTTCTAATCTTGACAAGTTTTTGAACCACGTAAAAGAAGTGTATCCACTTTATTTCTTTGGTTTCGTATAACATATTCTTACTTTTTACTGACTGTTTACTGATTGGCTAATATTTCTCAAGGTTATTTAAGATTCGTTCAAAGGTCGTCCATAAATCAGAGTCTCGCCGAACTTTTTCCTATTTCATGTTTTGTAAGTAATCTAAGAATAGGATGAAATGGCCATTCAATGCTTCCAGATATTCCATGGTAGTCTAGCTTTAATTGACTGATGATTTCCACTAGTAAAATAATAATCTAACATAACATGTTACATCTATAACTTGCTTATCATAATATTATCAATGCATTTACAAAGAACAAAAATTAACCAATCAAAGTAGAAAGGAATATCTATAACCAATCAAATCAATTTCTATATTATAAAACAGTTTAAAGAATAAGGATTATAATTTATAGTTGATAGTTAGGGTTAAGAACTAGATTTGAGGTTTTCATCACGAACTAATATCAACTAAAATGCCAAGACGCTATTTTAAACCAAATGGTTAAATGAATTTCGCGCCAACAAAACAATAATATTACAAAATAAATAGATTTTACATATTTAATGGGTTTGTTGTAAATTTTCTACTGTATTGTCTGTAAATGGAAGACATCTACACACAGAAATGCATCCTCTGTGGATAGAGATCATCCGCTTTCTTGAAATCTTATAAGGATGAAAAAATTGATTTTGAAGAGTCTCCATGATATTCTTCATTAAAATTAAAGTTTTCATTACGAATTGACACTAGCTACAATACAAAAGTGTATGAATGAATTGCATGCAAAAATGCAAGAGGCGCTAGCCGATTCTTACATGAAATATAATCAAACCAGATGAATGTTTGTTTCAGAGTGACAGGTTTACGGTTAGGATTTAAAGATGTTGTCAACATGCCAGAAACAAAATTGAACATTTGTTACCATCGTATTATCCTTTTAGTTCTATGGTGACAACAAGTGATATTTTTCTATCACTTTAAACGTGTTGAACATCAAACAAAAGTATTTCTTCTATTACTCGTAGTAAGTAATATTTGAATTTCGCTTAGAATTCTAGAAGTCGTATACTTGATTCTTGATTCTGACTGATTCGTTCCTAAAGCTTAATTTGACTACCATAGGGATGAGGTTAAAGCAAGTATGATAAATGTTTAGCTAGTTCTTTGTCAATCAGAAAGGAACCTTTGCCAGTGAATGGCATATGGGAAAGAAAACAATAATATTAAAAAGTGTAAACAGATCTTATCTACTTAATAGATCTATTGAAATTTCCTACAATTGATCCCGTTTGTAAATCGAGAAAATAATGACATGTAGACTCGGCCAAATGGATATAAGTTATCTGTTTCCTCAAAATTTTATAAGGTTGAAATTAGACTTTTAGCAGTCAACACATTATTCTTGATTATGGTTAAGCTTTTAGAGAAAAGATTGAGGATCTAAGGTTATGTTTCATGGGATATAAATGAAGTGCATGTACTTAAAATCTAAATTACTGAGGGGGAAAAAGTGTGTAACTATGGTATTTGTATAGAATAATAATTGTTTTCTATGCAGTCAAGCACGTAATTTCAACTTCAATATACAAAACATTCGAGTGAATTCACTTTGCTCTTTATCTTCAGTTCTGGTTCAATCGTGACATTTAGAATACGTATGGGTTAGCTCTGGAAGTTAATAGTTTGTACATTATGTGATTAAGAAAACGAATATATCATTTAGTGATGAATTGAATTTCTCAGTCAGTTTACTGATTTGACAAACTATATACAGACACATGAAATTACTGAATAACTGCTAGCTCAATTCATTCAAACTTGTTGATTGATCAATCATTTAAGATGATGTGTAATGTATTATGATTGTTGTAAATATAATCTAATTAGCGGTTGGTGAATAAGTCCGTTTTCAGTTATAGTCTTATTTCCTTCACTGCATCAACAAAACAGTTTCTTTAATTTTCTGTAAATAACAGATAGCAGTTATTCCCCAGTTGTAGTCAATAGGGTACTAGTATCGATGATCAGTACATAGTTTAAGTCATTACTTTAACAAATCAGTTTTGTTTCAAGTCATTACGTAAACTATCAACTTTTTGAAATACCTCAATGACTCAAAAATTTAGTAAATATATAGAACTTGTTAATGGTATTATTTGACAATGATGAACAAGCTGTCATTCAAAATGATAAGGTGTTTATAACTAACAGAAGGGATAGTTTTCAATCGTATACAAGTTTACTTGAAAATTATTGACTGTTCTTTTGATCCACTGAATTAAATCATTAAGATAAACATTAAAAGTCGTTAAAAAGCTATTTAGCGGCTTCAGTAAAAATGAACTCACTGAACTTGAGAAGTTTTCCGTAAAACAGACAGAAATGAAGCTTGATTAGATGTTTTGTGTTTATTTATTACCTACAAAACAATTCAGATACCCACCAGAAACATACAGCCTGGGTCAAGCTTCCTTATCCGATTAGCACAGAAAGATGAAAATAACAGAAGAGATATAAATTATGTAGCAGTAATGAGAAAAAAACTAATTTTGGGAACATGATTTAAAAAGACAGTGAAAGGGTTTGTATGAAACAAAACTAGGAGTCAACGTCGAGAGGAAGATAAAGAGTAAATACATCTGCATCATTGTAAATGATTTCAAGCCAATGTCGCCTTACTTCTCCATCCACGAATGGTGGTTATCATGCAGATCCCAACCATTCAATCTGCACCTACCTACATAGTCCAAACAAATAATTAATGATTTCATAGACTGATATCTTAACCCATGTCCTAGTTGAATAATTTTTCATAATAACTGATTTTATAATATATTTCGTTAGTTCGTCAATAATGGTATATTATGGGATCTGTTTGAGGATTGGTTCTATGAATAAATAATCAATTTTTACACATTGTTCGTTATAGAAGTTTTCTAACCATTTTCATAAAATACCATCCCTTATTCAATAGCCATTAACTGTAGGACAAAACTGTAGAGTAATTAGAAAATCTTATGGTGTACACAAATAAAAAGGAAATATTATTTCATAAGCGTCAAATAGACGTGATACTGAATATTTCTGTCTTTTTGCATATTTTCACTACTTACTTTCTCTAAATCTGGTTTATCTTTTCCCCTAAACTTATGGTTGCTACTTCATCTTATTATCAATAATATAATTAATTTACAAAACAAATTACAACATTCATTTAGATACTTGCGGAGCTCACCTTTATCCAACTAATCTATATTGTACTAATGCAAAGATGAGAAATC